GACCACCACACGGCTCACCCGCACGGTCGCCAGTGCGCAAGACGTAGGTGCACGGACCAGTACCCCCACCCCTCTGACGTGCAGTGTACCACTCACGGAGCTGCTGTGGGGAGAGGGTCTCCTGACCACGCTGCTGCCGCTGCTGCTGGCGCTGACCGCCACCGGAGCCACTCCTCTGCGACGAGCCACGACCTCCTCCGCCGCCTCCTCCGCCGCCGCCGCCACCACCTCCGCTGCCACCGCCACTCCCACCGTCGCTGCCGCCACCGCCGCCTCCACCTCCACTCCCACCACCACCGCCGCTGCCACCCCCGCCTCCATTGCCGCCGCTGACACCTCCACTCCCGCCACCACTCTCGCTACCACCCCCACCTCCTCCGCTGCCTCCACCGCCGCCTCCACCGCCCCCGCAGCCGCCACCACCGCTCCTGCCCCCCTTGCCCTTGCCAGAGCAACGTCTCCCACTGGGGGCAGACGCCGCGCCGACCGACTCAAAACCAACTAGGTCGGCCGTAGCAGCAGAGGCGACAGAGGGCAGGAGGGGGGAGGGGGAACACCCCTCAAAGATGGGGGTGCGCGGGTCACCACGAGAGGCCCCTACAGCGAGAATGCTCTTCTCGGCTGCTAGGAGGGACTTCTCGAGGAGGTCAACAGTGAGAGTGGTGGGGCAGACTGAGAGTAAGTCGTCCCTGACTCCGCGAAGGGAGTCAGGGAGGCGGGCGACAATGTAGTAGAGAGTGAAGTACTGGGGGGGGGGGGGTTCTTCGCGCAGAACTCAGCAGGAAGCGCAGCGCGGAAGCGAGCGTCACTAGTGCGCAGGTGGGTAATGAGGTCGGCGACTGTGGCAAAGGAAGCAAGGTCGGGAAAGAGGTACGGTAGCATGAGGCGGCTCAGTGCAGCAGTGGGAGGGGTGGAGTAGCGTGCAATAACGGCGTCGTACAAGGTCTGAGCACTCTTGTACGACCCAAAGTGTGCACGCTCAGAGGGAGGGAGGTGGCGACGCACAGCAAGACGTGCAGCAGCATCGCGTGTGGCCCACACTGAGCGAACAGTGGCATCCTCAGTAGCAGCAGGGGCGGGAGAGGCACCAGAAGTGAGATCAAAGAGAGAGAGGCCGTCAGCTTTGTCGCACTGTAGGAAAAGCAGCAGGTCGTCTACCCACACGTCAAAGTCTATGGCTCTGCCCTCAGCGTTGAAGGTGAGGACACTGGGGGTAGCCATGACAGCAGTAGGGTGAGGGCAGTGCGCAGAGTAAAGCTCAGTGCTCACCAGACAGGGCAGTGCAGACGCCTCGGGCGGCTCGGGCGGCTCGGGCGGCTCGGGCGGCTCGGGCGGCTCGGGCGGCTCGGCGACTCGGCTGCTGGGCGGCTCGAGCGGCTCGGTGGCTCGGGCGGCTCGGGCGGCTCGGCTGCTGGGGCGGCTCGGCTGCTGGGGCGGCTCGGCTGCTGGGGCGGCTCGGTTGCTGGGGCGGCTCGGCTGCTGGGGCGGCTCGGCTGCTGGGGCGGTGCAGTTGCTGGGGCGGCGAGGCCGGGAGATGCAGCTGCGGGGCCGTTAGGGGTAGTGGCGGGGCCGGTAGGTGAAGCGGCGGGGCCGTCAGGTACAACAGCGGGGCCGGCAGGTGAGACGGCGGGGCCTGCAGATGAGGCGGCGGGGCCGGCAGGTGCAGCAGCGGGGCCGTCAGGGGTAGCGGCGGGGCCGGTAGGTGCAGTGGCGGGGCCGTCAGAGGGGACGGCGGGGCCGTCAAGTGCAGCGGCGGGGCCGGCAGAGGGGACGGCGGGGCCGTCAAGTGCAGTGGAGGGGCCGGTAGAGGGGACGGGGGGGGCGTCGCAGGCGATCGCGGGGCCGTCAGAGACGGCGCCGGCGTCGCGAGGGTCAGAGGGGGAGGCGCGCGACTGGAGGGCGGCACGCGCGACGCGGCGCGGCCGTCTAGGGGCAGCGCGACGAGGCCGCGTAGGTGGCGCGCAAAAAAAAAAATCGCGGGCGGCTCGACGCGATCGGGCCGCCAAAGGAAAAAAAAAAAAGGCCCAGCGCGACTCGGGCTAGGGCAGAGCGCGCTCCGGGCAGGACGGAATAGTAGGTGGGCCCTAAGAACAGTTCCCACTAGGGAACCTGCTTGATACCATGATGAGATAGAGGCGAGGAATGAGTGCACTATGAAATGAAAACAAGTACAAGTACCAACCCTAATTGGGTTGTACCCCCTATGGGCTACCCCACTACAGCCTAAATATATGCATCAGTAATATAATCATCTGACAGGCTCTGCTCGATAGAATCTGGTCGACCAGCTTTGCGCGACGAGCTCTGGTGAACGATCTCTGCGCGATGAGCTCTCGTCGAAGAGCGCTGGTCGACGACCCTGGTCAACTCTGGTCGAAGCGTTCGGGTCGAGGAGCTCTGCTCGGCGAACGTTGTTCGGCCGATCGATGCCGAACTCATCGATCGAAGTTGCAGAGTTCTGCGAAACTCTGCGGAGGCGTGCAAACTTTCGCCCAGGAGATATTGACGAAGTTCTACCTGCGGAACGGCATCACGTGGTCAACGGTGCGCACCTGGCAAAACAGACGACACGTTTTCTACGTGGCACATGCGCAATGTGCCTGACGGTGAAACCGCCAACCTGCACCTACTTGGTAGGTGCGCACATCTGCGCAGATAGACAACCTGCGACTGCAGAACGTTACCTGCGTCTGCAGATAGTCGCCTGCGACTGCAGTGCTGGCAGAACGTGCGCGGTGCAACGCTGGCAGATTACTCTGCTGCAGCGTTGGCAAGCCGCTCTTTTGCTGCGCTGGCAGATGTCCCCCTTGCTAGGTGTTGCATGCCATTCTAGTTCCTTTTGTTCTGCATGCCTCAATTGTACTATCAACTTTTCATTGCAAGTTGTTCTTTCAACTTCCCTGGTGGAAACTCTTGCAAAACTTCTCTGTGAACACAGCAAGCAGTAAGAACGTTAGTATAACGCTACGACTCGCACAACTCCGTGCCCTCCACCGTAGTCCACTCCCGTTGTGTAGTGACTCTCCGCAGTCCTCTCGACCATGCCGCCCGTTGGACCCGCATCCTCCCCGCGCCTCCTCCTCTTATTCCCGACTTCTCCCATGACTTTCTACGCGGACAACCCAGCCTCCAGCGCGACATCTTGTATCGGTTCTATACCCGCTCTCTTCCTTCGGGCTCTCAGATCAACTTTGCCGCTGATCGAGGGATTTGTTCACGCTGCCCTGCTGCAACTACTGAGACTATCTCCCACATTTTTTATTCGTGCGTGGTGGCCCCTGCCGTAATTTCGGCCCTCTCCTCCGTCGCCCATCGCCACCTCCACTGTTCTCCTCCTCCTGAGCTCTTGCTTTTCCCGCGCACCTCGAGAGCAGGCAAGGTGGCCCCCTGGAGCCTTTTGGTGGGTGCCTCCGCAAAGGCAATCTGGAATGCGCGCTGTGACCACAAATACAACGACTCCTCATCTTCTAGTTTCGAGATCCTCCAGTTCATCCTGGCACAGTTCCTCCTTGCTTTCAAATTATTCCTTTGGCGGAGGAAGCGACAATCTGTGAAGAAAGAGCAACGCTCGGCCTCTCGCATTCCTTTGGACGTGGACGTGGTCCCGACGGACACCCTTCTATTCACCCGGACCTCCGCTCCTCCTCGCTACTTGGAGACCCCTTTCACCCCCCCCCCTAGGTCGTTCTCCTTTTTTAGCATAGAGCACTCCCCAGTTTTGCTGGCGGTTATCTTGTGGATATGGGAATAACGTGTTTCTTATGTACGCCTTCGGGTTGTTGGTTGTGTAGACCATATTTCCAGCTGCTCTATGCTTTGCTGTACATGGTTACGACCTTAATACAACCTTAACCTGTGGTTGGATGGCCTAAATCCACGTCATAATTGCGGGAGGCGATCGGGGGAATCACTTCCAGACACTCGTTGAGATCTCATTTATTGGAGAAATAACTCGCTACTGATTGTCGTCCCATGCAATCGTCAGCTTCAGGCAACTGCTGCACGGCACCAGCGTTCCCTTGTGCACGCCACGTAGGCTTGGTCACAGCTGCGGCCCGCTGACGACGGATCGCAGAGGTGCTGACGTAGCGCGATTGTTGGAGCAGGTGAGCGTTGTCATCGAGTCGCACCTTATCCGGTCCATTTCCGTTTCCCACAACAGAGCCAATCCACGTACCGCAATTGTTCGTGATACCTGTGAATTGCGGTCGAGGTGGTTGTCACGTCAGGGAGAGTTTGTGGTGAGGCGAATCGGAGCGCGTGTACACCTGGGACTTGGCGAGGAAATTTTACCCCAAACGAAACGACGAGCCACACAAGCACACACCACGCACCACACACCACAGACCACACAGCACCACACCACACCATCCATTAAGAACCAAGCATAGAGGACAAGGAAAGCAGCGAATGCTGCTGAGCCGCGCGCACCACCCAGTACGAGAACGAGGGCAGCTCCTCTGGACTTCGAGCATCCACTAACCGAAACCTACCACTGGACTGGACAGAGAGATAGCGCTAGTATAAAATGCGGATATTCATTTCCTCATTTCAGTCACGTGGTTTGCTGAGATATTCTGCCTGATTGCTTGCTCTCAATCACTCGCACCTATTGATTGCACAAGCTTCATCTACCATCCTTGCAACCCTGATCGAAACGTCGAAACGTCAAGTTTTAGCCCAAGACCTTGGAAGACTGCTTTCCTCTTTGTGGATCGTCTTTTTGAACCCCCTACTGTCGTTACTCCCTTCCATCACAACTGGAAGCCATGGCTGCTGCAGCGCTTGCTCGTTTTCCCACCCTGACACCCGTGAATTCCATCAGCCTGAAACCGTCGCAACACGCGAAAAGCAAACAACGAACCGTAGCTCCCCAATTCTGGCTCTCCAAGCCGTCTCGGCCTTCACCAGTCCGATGCGAGGCACCACCCACCATGACCGAACGGGAGCAGAACCGCCAACTGAAAGTCGCGCCGTCGTCCCTCGAATACAACGACCGGATGAAACGACAGATGGCGAATCCGTACGAGTACCACCACGAGCTCGGAATTTACTACACCCGCGTGCACCCTAAGATCATCGTCGGCTCGCAGCCGCAAACACCGGACGACATAGACCGTTTGCAGCGTGACGAGGGCGTGCAGGTGATTCTTAATCTCCAGCAAGACCATGACATGGCGTACTGGAGCGTGGACATTGGATCCATCATCAAACGGTGCAGGGAGCGCCACGTGGAGCATCACCGCCGGCCTGCCGTTGATTTCGATCCCAATTCGCTCCGCCATGAGCTTCCCAGGATGGTTGCTGTGATCGCAAAGGCCGTCGCGGAAGGGAAAACCGTCTACGTGCACTGTACCGCGGGCCTCGGCCGGTCTCCGGCAGCTGTGATAGCGTATCTGTTCTGGTTCGCCGAGCCGCGCGTGGACTTGAACGGCGCATACGACCACGTTACATCTCTCCGCCCGTGCGGTCCCAAGAAGGACGCCATTCGCGGCGCAACGTACGACTTGGCGAAGAACAGCCCTTACCAGCCGCAGTTCGAGCACCTTCCGGATTTCGCGTTCACTGACGTGGCACAGTGGGAGAGAGATCTCATCCGCCAGCGCGTGTGGTCTCTAGCTTAAGCGGAAAGTTGCGGTTGCGACTCCGCAGAGGCTGCTGAGTGGTCGGCCCAGTCTCGTTTGTACATCGTTTGTACATTCACGGCAACGCAGAAGGACAGAAGTAATTTTTTTATCACCCTGCGGTGGGTGGTTCTAGAGTCCAAACGGCAGCACAGGATGTCCTTAATTCTTGGGGTCTGGCCTCGCGGGATTTTGCCGCCACGACTACTGTGGCTGGCAGGCTACGGGGTCTCCCAGTACTAGTTTCTGACATACACTGATATTTGTATAGTCACCAATTCATTCATTCATTCATTGATTTTGATCGTGCCCTCATTTTCCATTTCATCAACAGCCAGTAATGACCTTCATAAGAACGCACGGTGTCAAACATGCCCTTGGCTTGAGAACAAGTATTTTCCGACTACCTTGTGCTTCAATACGCCACTATGAAAAGCGGCTCGCGTCGAAAAAAATCACGGCCTCGTTCCCCACAACGCGAGCATAGTGAGGCTTGCCAGCGGGAACCTCGATGCAATCACCCGCCTCTAAAATCACATCTGTGCCGTCCATGCGGAATAAGAAGCGGCCCGAGAGGATGCTGTCTTTCTTGTGCACGCCGTGCATGTGCTCCGGGAACTCCGTGCCAGGCGAGAAGACATAGCGGATAACGCTGTAACCCTCTGCCTGGAGCCGCTCCTTCATAGTACGCTCTGAGAGTTTCCCGTACATTGCGGCGTCCCATTTCTCGGGCCGAACTGCACACACTACTGTACGTCTTGGAACAGCCGAGGCTGGGCCGAAGTGTTTGAGTGTACGGGAGAGACGAATTGTCCCGTGCGGGATTCTCAAGGCCGAAACCATGGCGGAAATGTGAGCTTGTGGGGGATGCGGGAATAGAGTGCAGGTTGAGGAAATGTAGGTGTTTGTTTGTCGCAGGCGAGGTTCGAGTAGGGGAAATTATACGCGCAGTCACAATTTAGGCCGTATTATCACGTTTGATCACGGGGTTATCACGGACAGTCACAGTACAGTACTTCGCTATCACGTGTGATCACAGCGCTATCACGCGTGGTCACACCTCGCCCCGCAGGGTTATCACGTTTGGTCACTCGTTGAAACGCCTGCCAAAAAGTCGAAACTCTCAAATCTACTGTACAGATTCGGGTACTATTATCTCGCGCGCGTTTTGTCTGTAGTGAAAAACGTGATGTGACTGTCGAAATATACTCGGACCTTGTTAGGGACCGATGCAGTTTAATGCACAGTCCGCATGTTGCAGTGAATATAAGCGATCAATAACAGTTTCGATTATACATTTAGTTTAGGGTGTGCATTTCATCACTCCATCTACCTGACTTGCTCGGTTATCTTTGTTTCGATTATACATTTAGTTTATGGATGAAATGCACACCCATCTACCTGACTTGCTCGGTTGTCTTTGTTTCGATTATGGAGTGATGAAATGCACACCCTAAACTAATCGAAACTGTTATTGATCGCTTATATTCACTGCAACATGCGGACTGTGCATTAAACTGCATCGGTCCCTAACAAGGTCCGAGTATATTTCGACAGTCACATCACGTTTTTCACTACAGACAAAACGCGCGCGAGATAATAGTACCCGAATCTGTACATTAGATTTGAGAGTTTCGACTTTTTGGCGGGCGTTTCAACGAGTGACCAAACGTGATAACCCTGCGGGGCGAGGTGTGACCACGCGTGATAGCGCTGTGATCACACGTGATAGCGAAGTACTGTACTGTGACTGTCCGTGATAACCCCGTGATCAAACGTGATAATACGGCCTAAATTGTGACCGCGCGTATAATTTCCCTTCGAGTAGGCATGCGAAGGGGAATGTGGCATTTCGATATTAACGGTCCCACCGCTACAAAAAAAGTTCGGTAAAGAATTTGATGAAACGCCACATTTCCATAAACCTGTTATTTGGATAAGGCATACAAATACTTCATGCTTTCCAGCAAGTCTGAGCCAAAACATCAATTCACATGAATTGTACTTCTGATCACCCAGTGATCATGGTGCCAGCACCCTCATCTGTAAGCACCTCGAGCAGCAGCGAGTGTGGCTTGCGACCGTCAATAATGGCGGTGGAATGCACGCCCTGGGCGAGAGACCTGATGCAGCACTCCACCTTGGGAATCATGCCACCCTTAACAATGCCATCTGCTATCAGCTTGCGAATGCCCTTGATGTCCACCTCCTTCACGAGACTGCTTAGAGCATGAAGAATTAGAGGGTGATGGTTTACATTAGGGGTGAACAAAGACATCAGAGGGTAATAGATCAGGAGAGAGATGTGAATAAAGGGTGCGGATTCATGAGTGAGATCGGGACAACAGATGTGATATGTGATCTTGTGATGTGCAATGTCACCTGTCACCGCCCGTGACCCAAGAATACTTCAGTCCCCAGAAAGCCGCAAAGCACAGCAATGCTTGATTCTGGATGAATCAAGTGCATTCAGCAGATAGACCAAGTGCCTAGTCGCGAGCAAACGCGTGAGCGAACTTCTTCACACATTCCTGCTCCCAGCAGTTACAATACTGCCATCTCTCAAATTCCTTACCCAAGAATCGCCACCAACAAACCTGAAACTCTTCAAAATTCGATTTCCCCAAATTTCACCACGTGGCTTCGTCTGCTGTGCGTCAACTCTCAGTGACATTCCCATCCTTGCGTGTCATTTCCCGACAAATCCGCTGTGAATTCTGTCAATTGTTACGCCTCACCTCGCATGGTGTCACTCACCTGTCCGAGACCTTCGGGTCGATCATCATTCCCCGGCACGTCCGTCATCAATATAAGCTTTTCCGCTCCCAGCGACGCCGCGATTTCCTTGTGAGTCGACTCAAACGCAGTCGCATGTGGTCTCACCTGTCAGTGTCCTTCGGATCAATCATGACACCCGGCACGTCCGTCATCAGAATGAGCTTTTCCGCTCCCAGCGACGCCGCAATCTCCCCTGCCGCCGTGTCCGCGTTCACGTTATACGCCTGCCCCTCCGAATCCGCCGCCACCGTTGCAATAACGGGGATGATCCCGTCGCGAACCAGCCCTTTGACGACAGTGGTATCCACATTCGAGATGTCGCCTACGAATCCCAGATCTTCGCTAGCCTGTCGCGCGGTGATCATGCGACCATCCTTTCCGCACATTCCCACAGCAGTGCCACCGGCGCGATTGATAAGCGACACAAGCGACTTATTCACCTTCCCTACAAGCACCATCTCGACCACCTCCATAGTAGGCCCATCAGTCACACGCAGACCGTTCTTAAAATTCGGCTCAATGCCTATCCGCGTCAGCCACGTGTTAATCTCCGGTCCGCCTCCGTGAACCAGCACGGGCCGCAAGCCGACGCATGATAGAAGCACGAGGTCCTTAATCACACCCTCTTTAAGCGTCGGGTCCTTCATAGCCGCGCCGCCATACTTCACGACGACGGTCTTGCGTTGAAACCGTTGGATGAAGGGTAGCGCTTCGGAAAGAATGTCGACGCGATCGAGGGCGGAAAACTCTTGCGCGAGTGCAGATCGGACGGTCGTGGTGCGCTTGGCGGATCGCGAGCTGCGAGTTCTGGTAGAACGCGCGGTAGCTGGGATCAGGGAGCGGTTTGAAGGGACGAAGGAGCTGTGAGATGAAAGATTTCCAACGGCTGACGTGGACGTTGATTCGCGAAGGAAGGAGGTGGAACCTGCAGCAGAAGCCTGCAATGCTGCTGATGCCGCCGCCATTGTAACGCGCACACCCAAAATTCCTGAAGTTGGTTATACGCAGGATGTGAAAACGCGACAAGCTTAGCGGAAAAGTAACTCTAGGAAGACCTGAAATGGTCGGCCATAAACTCTCCTTCAACCCTGAAGAAACGAATGTTGTCCTGCTCTTGTATGTGCTAACGGGTGGGTGATTCGAGCTATGCACCAACACTGCGTGCCTGCCCAACACCCCTCCTTGCCACGGCTTTGATGATTCAGAAAGGATATAGTGCATCTCGCAACGGTGCGGAGCGGTTCACCGGGTTCTTGTCGGCCCGGCAACTTTGAACCCCGGTGCACCGCTCCACACTGGTGCGCACCAACACGAGCTGCAACACGTCCTCAGGAATCTCATTCCACGTGTGACAGCAAACATCTGCTCTCCTCGCGACTCGATTCGTGGACTCTATCTGCGCTGCTCCAAGGTGTGCACGTGGCTATTCGAGCCGCAGTGGGTGCGTCATTTGCTCGTCATCACGGCGGGTACTTCTTTCCGATTTGTCAAGCACTTTAACATTGAATTGCCACGGCGGACAAGCTGTCCAATCAAGTGTGCGTAGAGATGTACTCAGCAAAGGGCCCATCGATAGCAGACAGAAGTCGCAGCAAGTGAGTCCCACGTTGTGAAGTGCACTTCCATTGCAAAATTCCACTATTGTAACATAAACAGTAGTAAATACATGCGTCTACAGCTTCTAAATGCTCGTGCATTTGCAGCAGCAGTCCTATTTTCTGCCAACAGACAGAAGCTTATCAATGGATCCGTCCTTGTTATAACGAGCAACCACCTCTTTAGCATACTTGGGGATATGCTGCTCCGCTCTGTTAGATTGATTCAAACAAAACAAAAGGCAACACTAAGAAACCAAGTGAAACGGCCAAAGCGGTTGCACCACCTTGAAACCAAAAAACAGATAAGAGAGGGTGGTGGGAGGAGATGGGGTAGGAAAACAAGGGAGGAGGAGGGTTGATAAGGGAAGGGCATGCGTGCATCGAACAAAAGTCACTGACCTTTCGTTTCCCCAAACGCGGTGCACGTGCAAATAATTGCGGATGGTGTGATAGTCGAGTGAGTAGCGTGCAAACTCCAGCCCCTTCGGGCCCACCTGAGTGGGATGCATGGGGAGAGAGACACACGGGACAGAATCAGGGGGTGGGTGAGGGGAAGAGGGACAGAGTCGAGTGAGTAGTGTGCAAACTCCAAACCCTTGGGGCCCACCTGAGTGAGATGCACGGAAGGAGCAATACGGGAGGGGAAACACACAGGTGTGGCACGCAGAAAGGGATAGAGGGAGGAAGAGCGGGAACGGGATAGCGGAGTGAGTGGTATGCAAACTCTAGTCCCTCAGGGTCCGCCTGAGTGGGAGGACAGGGGCCAGACACAAGGGTAAAAAAAGATGCATAAAGATTAATGATGCGGAAAGCTTAAACAAGAAGCACCCACCAGAGGTTGTGACCCACCAGAGGTTGTGACCCCCCAGTCCCTTAAGGTAAGAAGGTGTCCAAGGACTTTGGACTTGGGGCTGGGGGGTTTTTTGAGAATTCTCAAAAAACACGCTCTGCAACACATTTCCCTCCCACGTATGTTAGTGTGTTGGCGTTTACCAAAGAGGGTACGCAACCTCTTGGTGAAAGCGAGGTTTCAGAAACGGGGATACACCAACCCCGTGAGTTGATGGGATTGAATTCGTCCCACCAACCTGCATGTTTGCTTGACATTGTAAATGTTGTACAGCCAGCTAGCGAGCCGCGATGACGAGCCGCACTGGATCTCTTGTTTCTTGGTTGAGTGCTGGGCACGGTAGATGGGAGTAGATAAGGAGTAGTTTCTTTCATGTAACTCTGAGAGCGCTGATGAAGGCCACCGGCCGAAACGCGCGTACGCTCAGGTTTGAATGACAATTTCTTACCTATTCATTCCCTACTAGCCTAAGCTCAGCCTAGAGGAGATTAGGAAGAGATTAGGACGAGTTACCTGTTGGATCCAGGTCGAAACTGTTTTTCTGTGCCACCAGAGGTTGTGACCCACCAGGTCAAGCATAAGGCGTTGAGTCCAAGGTTCTTGAGATGAGAAATTTCTAGGCTCCTCACATGCAGGGTGCCTTTTGAGTCGACGCAAAGTCACCTAGGCTGATGAATCTGGAAGCGGAGGTGGGGGAGGGAGGGGGCTGAGACCCACCAGCAGGTCAAGCAGGGCAAAGGCTTACAAGGTCAAGCAGGAAGGTGATAATGTGGCCGATGAGTCTGGGAGCAGGGTTGAGCGTCTCTGTGCCCACCAGGTGATCAAATCCCAATCAGGCTAGGGTGATATGCTGGTATGTTGCACAGGAAGCACCCACCAGGTCAAGCAGGAAGGCGATAATGTGGCCGACAAGTCTGGGAGCAGGGTTGAGCCTCTCCGTGCCCACCGTCGCCTTGTCGTCTGCTTTCACCGTCTCCATCACAAACGGGCGGCGATCACCCTGCCGGTGGGCGGCAAGGGGATATCAATGTTTGCGCGTGGTGGGATAGGAAGGGGGGAGGATGGAAGTGGGGAGATGGGGGCGGGAGAAAGGGGAATAACGGGGAATAAGAGGAATAAAGGGAGAAACGCGTAGTGAAACTCCCAGATCCCACCGTCGCCTAGTCATCTGCTTTCACCGTCTCTATCAGAAACGGGCGACGATCTCCCTGCTGGTGACATGTGGTGGACAGGAGAGGAGAGGAGAGCAGAGAGCGGAGAGAGGAGGAGATCGGGAGGAGGGAGGAGGAAAGATGAGGGAAGAGGAAAGGGAAACAGCGGCGAAAGGCAGGAGAGGCGAACAGCGGCGAAAAGGTCAGAGAGTGAAGTAGGAAGGGTGAGGGACAGACCATGGCAACAATGAATGACATTGCCAAATGTACAGCGAATATCGAGAACAGCAATGCCACCAGCCAACATCAATGCATTACCGAGGAGAGAGTTGGCGTGACTTGCAGCTGTGGGCGAATCAACTCTAGCATCTCCGCCCCCCTCTCGTTCCTGCAGCGTGGCCCGCGCAAATGGGGAGGGAGAATGGTTTCATTGTTAAGATCCGTGTCCGTATCATTGCTGGTATCGTAATTGGCATATATATATATATATATATATATATATATATATATACAAGTGGTAGGAGGGAAAAACAAAGAAGGGAACAGGGAAAGCACAGAAGCGAGAGAAAAGGAGGTCAGCACGGAGTCGGCGGGCATGGTGGTAAGAAATGGGGTGCACCTGACTGTGATGTACTGCAGATGGTCCGTCATGGGGACTCCTTGCTGCTTGGGCACTCCCATGTACCCCACCACCATGTCCTGTGCGTGAGGGGATGGGGAGGGGGGAAGATGGGTGAAATGGTGAGAGGCGAGGCGAGGCTTGAGTCGCAGATGGTCCGTCATGGGGACGCGCTGCTGCTTGGGCACTCCCATGTACCCCACCCCCATGTCCTGCGTGCAGGGAGATGGGGGGGATTGGAGAGAGAAGAGATGGAGAGAGAGAGGAGATGATGGGGCTTTGAGTCGCCTCATAAGGCACTCCCATGTGCCCCACCACCATGTCCTGAGTGCAGGGAGGGGGAGGGGAGAGGATGGGCGAAATGGCGAGAGGCGAGGCTTTGAGTTGCAGATGATCAGTCATGGCGACCCCTTGCTGCTTGGGCACCCCCATGTACCCCACCCCCGTGTCCTGCGCGCAGGGAGAGGGAGGGGAGAGGAGAGATGAGAGGTGTGATGAGCTTTAAGGCCACTCCCATGCACCCCACCCCCATGTCATGTGCTCATGTGATGTGTGCGATGGGATGGGATGGTGATGGTGGTGAGGACGACGGGTGTGATGTCTGTGATGGATGTGAAGATGAAGAGAGGTCGGCACGGCACTAGGCATACTTCAGTGTATGGGAACTGGCGGGAAAGACGGTTCACGGCAAGGGAAGAGGCGGACTTGCGGCAAGGGAAAAGAGACTTACGGCAAGGCCATTGGTGTAGTCAAAGCAGCTGGCACATGCGGATTCAGGGAGACATGGGAGGAGGAGCAGGGGACGAGAGGGTTCAGTGCAATGGAAAGGGAACAGGTGCTTTTGTGCAAGGGAAGAGTAGGACTTACGGCGAGGCCATTGGTGTAGTCAAAGCAGCTGGCGCATGCATATCCAGGAAGATATGGAAGGAGGAGCAGGAGGGGAGAGGGAAAGAAGGAAGGAGAACGATGGGGATGAGGCACAGGAAACAGAAGTCACATCACCATGGGAAAGGCTAACATGCACACATGTAGGGTGTTTTTGAGAATCCCCAAAAAGACCCTACATCATCAAGGAGTCAGATCACCATGGCAAAGGCTTACATGCACACATGGCTAACGTACCATGGCATGATGAACACAAACGAGTGATGTGACCACAGAAATCACATTATATATGAAAGGGCAATATTTCTGAAATGATTGGGGTTAACGTTAGGTGGTGTTAGGTGTGATACGACGGGAGATCCCATTACATGTGATAGCACTAGATCAATGAGGGTGTATTTTCGAGAAGTCTCAAAAGTGACTCCCATTGGATTAACCAGAGTACACTCACCTGTAGCAGGAGGGGGCAATGACGTCTTTAAGGTCCGATGCTGGCAGGCAGAAATACGGCACCTGAGGTTGGGAGGTGGGAGATAAGAGATGGGAGATAAGAGATGGGAGATAAGAGATGGGAGATGGAAGATCGGAGCAAGAGGCAAGGAAGAAAGAACAAGGAGGAATAAGGATCAACGGCAGGAAGAGCAAGCAGCTGAGGGTCTCAGCCTGACGCAGGAAACCGTTACTTGAGGAATAAACAGTTGCAGAACGAGAATTAAAAAAAGCCAGAGGCGTGGGAGTGAGAGGCAGAGGCATGGAAACAAGAGAGGCACTCGTGTGCTCATCAAAAGGACCATCTGGCAGGTATAGGAGGCCGTTTCTGAGGCGCCTCAAAAACGACCTCAAGAGGCGCTCGTGTGGTCATCGAACGGACCATCCGGCAGGTATGGGAGGCATGGGGGTGGGAACACACCTCTTCCATTCGGCCGTCCAGATGCTTTATGTGCACCTGGCGGGGTGGGGGGATGGGAGGGCAGCATGGGGGGATGGGAGAGAGGCATGGGGGGGATGAGGGGGGTACATGAATGATAAACTGCTGCTGGACTGGAGCACAATACAATCCTGGATGAACTCGTGGTGCAGAACTGTACTGGAATGAATAATACAGGACTTACAAACTAGAATAAACGATTGTAATATAGCACTGTAGCATATTAAGTCCTGCATGAACTCGTAGTGCAACGAATTAATAATGAGATGGGGAAAATTATGTTTTCAATACAGTACTGTAGCACACCTTATAGTCGGTAGTGTAATGTGTAGTGTAGTGTAGCACACCTTATAGTCCTGCATGAACTCGTAGTGCAGCACTGTCTCCGGATCCTCACTTGCAGCGTTCAGGAACTTCTCCAGGCCCTTGCGCGGACCGTTGTCCACTGCGGTGGAGGGGGGTGGTGTGGGATGGTGCACGGTGGTGTGCGGTGGGCGAAACAAGGGGGTCGGGATGGTGAGACAGCATCAGGGCATGAAAACCCAAGAGAGATGGAGGAAAGCGGCGGCAAGACAGAGGTGACAGAGAGGATCGAGATGGGAAGAAAAACGGTAGAAGGGGGGGAAAGGGGAGAAAAGGGGGAGGAAAAAGGGAGGAAAAGGGGAGGAAAGACGGAGGAAAAGGGGAGCGGTGCAGCGTATGAGCGAGTGGTGCAGCGTATGAGCGGGCGGTGCAGAGTATGAGCGGGCGGTGCAGCGTATGAGCGGGCGGTGCAGCGTATGAGCGTGCGGTGGAGCATATGAGCGGGCGGTGCAGCGTATGAGCGGGCGGTGCAGCGTATGAGCGGGCGGTGCAGCGTATGAGCGGGCGGTGCAGCGTATGAGCGTGCGGTGCTCGTATGAGGGTTCGGTGCAGCGTATGAACGGGCGGTGCAGCGTATGAGCGTGCGGTGAAGCGTATGAGCGTGCGGTGCAGCTTATGAGCGTGCGGTGCAGCGTATGAGCGTGCGGTGCAGCGTATGAGCGTGCGGTGCAGCGTATGAGCGTGCGGTGCAGCGTATGAGCGTGCGGTGCAGCGTATGAGCGTGCGGTGCAGCGTGAGCGTGCGGTGCAGCGTATGAGCGTGCGGTGCAGCGTATGAGCGTGCGGTGCAGCGTATGAGCGTGCGGTGCAGCGTATGAGCGTGCGGTGCAGCGTATGAGCGTGCGGTGCAGCGTATGAGCGGGCGGTGCAGCGTATGAGCGGGCGGTGCAGCGTATGAGCGGGCGGTGCAGCGTATGAGCGGGCGGTGCAGCTTATGAGCGTGCGGTGCTCGTATGAGGGTTCGGTGCAGCGTATGAACGGGCGGTGCAGCGTATGAGCGTGCGGTGCAGCGTATGAGCGTGCGGTGCAGCGTATGAGCGTGCGGTGCAGCGTATGAGTGTGCGGTGCAGCGTGAGCGTGCGGTGCAGCGTATGAGCGTGCGGTGCAGCGTATGAGCGGGCGGTGCAGCGTATGAGCGGGCGGTGGAGCATATGAGCGGGCGGTGCAGCGTATGAGCGGGCGGTGCAGCGTATGAGCGGGCGGTGCAGCGTATGAGCGGGCGGTGCAGCGTATGAGCGTGCGGTGCTCGTATGAGGGTTCGGTGCAGCGTATGAACGGGCGGTGCAGCGTATGAGCGTGCGGTGCAGCGTATGAGCGTGCGGTGCAGCGTATGAGCGTGCGGTGCAGCGTATGAGCGGGCGGTGCAGCGTATGAGCGTGCGGTGCAGCGTATGAGCGTGCGGTGCAGCGTATGAGCGTGCGGTGCAGCGTGAGCGTGCGGTGCAGCGTATGAGCGTGCGGTGCAGCGTATGAGCGTGCGGTGCAGCGTATGAGCGTGCGGTGCAGCGTATGAGCGTGCGGTGCAGCGTATGAGCGTGCGGTGCAGCGTATGAGCGTGCGGTGCAGCGTATGAGCGTGCGGTGCAGCGTATGAGCGTGCGGTGCAGCGTATGAGCGTGCGGTGCAGCGTATGAGCGGGCGGTGCAGCGTATGAGCGGGCGGTGCAGCGTATGAGCGGGCGGTGCAGCGTATGAGCGTGCTGTGCAGCGTATGAGCGTGCGGTGCAGCGTATGAGCGTGCGGTGCATCGGTATGAGGCGTGCGGTGCAGCGTATGAGCGTGCGGTGCAGCGTATGAGCGTGCGGTGCAGGCGTATGAGCGGGCGGTGCAGCGTATGAGCGTGCGGTGCAGCGTATGAGCGGGGCGGTGCAGCGTATGAGCGTGCGGTGCAGCGTATGAGCGTGCGGTGCAGCGTATGAAGCGTGGCGGGTGCAGCGTATGAGCGTGCGGTGCAGCGTATGAGCGTGCGGTGCAGCGTATGAGCGTGCGGTGCAGCGTATGAGCGTGCGGTGCAGCGTATGAGCGTGCGGTGCAGCGTATGAGCGTGCGGTGCAGCGTATGAGCGTGCGGTGCAGCGTATGAGCGTGCGGTGCAGCGTATGAGCGTGCGGTGCAGCGTATGAGCGTGCGGTGCAGCGTATGAGCGGGCGGTGCAGCGTATGAAGCGGGCGGTGGAGCAGTATGAGCGGGCGGTGCAGCGTATGAGCGGGCGGTGCAGCGTATGAGCGGGCGGTGCAGCGTATGAGCGGGCGGTGCAGCTTATGAGCGTGCGGTGCTCGTATGAGGGTTCGGTGCAGCGTATGAACGGGCGGTGCAGCGTATGAGCGTGCGGTGCAGCGTATGAGCGTGCGGTGCAGCGTATGAGCGTGCGGTGCAGCGTATGAGCGTGCGGTGCAGCGTATGAGCGTGCGGTGCAGCGTATGAGCGTGCGGTGCAGCATATGAGCGTGCGGTGCAGCGTGAGCGTGCGGTGCAGCGTATGAGCGTGCGGTGCAGCGTATGAGCGTGCGGTGCAGCGTATGAGCGTGCGGTGCAGCGTATGAGCGTGCGGTGCAGCGTATGAGCGTGCGGTGCAGCGTATGAGCGTGCAGTGCAGCGTATGAGCGTGCGGTGCAGCGTATGAGCGTGCGGTGCAGCGTATGAGCGTGCGGTGCAGCGTATGAGCGTGCGGTGCAGCGTATGAGCGTGCGGTGCAGCGTGAGCGTGCGGTGCAGCGTATGAGCGTGCGGTGCAGCGTATGAGCGTGTGGTGCAGCGTATGAGCGTGCGGTGCAGCGTATGAGCGTGCGGTGCAGCGTATGAGCGTGCGGTGCAGCGTATGAGCGTGCGGTGCAGCGTATGAACGTGCGGTGCAGCGTATGAACGGGCGGTGCAGCGTATGAGCGGGCGGTGGAACGTATGAGCGGGCGGTGCCGCGTATGAACGGGCAGTGCAGCGTATGAGCGGGCGGTGCAGCGTATGAGCGGGCGGTGCAGCGTATGAGCGCGCGGTGCACCGATGAGCGCGCGGTGCAGCGTATGAGCGGGCGGTGCAGCGTATGAGCGCGCGGTGCAGCGTATGAGCGGGCGGTGCAGCGTATGAACGGGCGGTGCAGCGTATGAACGTGCGGTGCAGCGTATGAACGTGCGGTGCAGCGTATGAGCGTGCGGTGCAGCGTATGAGCGTGCGGTGCAGCGTATGAACGTGCGGTGCAGCGTATGAGCGTGCGGTGCAGCGTATGAGCGTGCGGTGCAGCGTATGAGCGTGCGGTGCAGCGTATGAGCGTGCGGTGCAGCGTGAGCGTGCGGTGCAGCGTATGAGCGTGCGGTGCAGCGTATGAGCGTGCGGTGCAGCGTATGAGCGTGCGGTGCAGCGTATGAGCGTGCGGTGCAGCGTATGAGCGTGCGGTGCAGCGTATGAACGGGCGGTGCAGCGTATGAGCGGGCGGTGGAACGTATGAGCGGGCGGTGCAGCGTATGAACGGGGGGTGCAGCGTATGAGCGGGCGGTGCAGCGTATGAACGGGCGGTGCAGCGTATGAGCGGGCGGTGGAACGTATGAGCGGGCGGTGCAGCGTATAAACGGGCGGTGCAGCGTATGAGCGGGCGGTGCAGCGTATGAGCGCGCGGTGCAGCGTATGAGCGCGCGGTGCAGCGTATGAGCGGGCGGTGCAGCGTATGAACGGGCGGTGCAGCGTATGGACGTGCGGTGCAGCGTATGAACGTGCGGTGCAGCGTATGAACGTGCGGTGCAGCGTATGAACGTGTGGTGCAGCGTATGAACATGCGGTGCAGCGCATGAGCGTGCGGTGCAGCGTATGAACGTGCGGTGCAGTGCATGAACGTGCGGTGCAGCGTATGAGCGTGCGGTGCAGCGTATGAGCGCGCGGTGCAGCGTATGAACGTGCGGTGCAGCGCATGAACGGGCGGTGCAGCGTATGAGCGGGCGGTGGAACGTATGAGCGGGCGGTGCAGCGTATGAACGGGCGGTGCAGCGTATGAGCGGGCGGTGCAGCGTATGAGCGGGCGGTGCAGTGTATGAGCGCGCGGTGCAGCGTATGAGCGCGCGGTGCAGCGTATGAGCGGGCGGTGCAGCGTATGAGCGCGCGGTGCAGCGTATGAGCGGGCGGTGCAGCGTATGAACGGGCGGTGCAGCGTATGAACGTGCGGTGCAGCGTATGAACGTGCGGTGCAGCGTATGAACGGGCGGTGCAGCGTATGAGCGTGCGGTGCAGCGTATGAGCGTGCGGTGCAGCGTATGAGCGTGCGGTGCAGCGTATGAGCGTGCGGTGCAGCGTATGAGCGTGCGGTGCAGCGTGAGCGTGCGGTGCAGCGTATGAGCGTGCGGTGCAGCGTATGAGCGTGCGGTGCAGCGTATGAGCGTGCGGTGCAGCGTATGAGCGTGCGGTGCAGCGTATGAGCGTGCGGTGCAGCGTATGAGCGTGCGGTGCAGCGTATGAACGTGCGGTGCAGCGTATGAACGGGCGGTGCAGCGTATGAGCGGGCAGTGGAACGTATGAGCGGGCGGTGCAGCGTATGAACGGGGGGTGCAGCGTATGAGCGGGCGGTGCAGCGTATGAACGGGCGGTGCAGCGTATGAGCGGGCGGTGGAACGTATGAGCGGGCGGTGCAGCGTATGAACGGGCGGTGCAGCGTATGAGCGGGCGGTGCAGCGTATGAGCGCGCGGTGCAGCGTATGAGCGGGCGGTGCAGCGTATGAGCGGGCGGTGCAGCGTATGAACGGGCGGTGCAGCGTATGGACGTGCGGTGCAGCGTATGAACGTGCGGTGCAGCGTATGAACGTGCGGTGCAGCGTATGAACGTGTGGTGCAGCGTATGAACGTGCGGTGCAGCGCATGAGCGTGCGGTGCAGCGTATGAACGTGCGGTGCAGTGCATGAACGTGCGGTGCAGCGTATGAGCGTGCGGTGCAGCGTATGAGCGTGCGGTGCAGCGTATGAACGTGCGGTGCAGCGCATGAACGGGCGGTGCAGCGTATGAGCGGGCGGTGGAACGTATGAGCGGGTGGTGCAGCGTATGAACGGGCGGTGCAGCGTATGAGCGGGCGGTGCAGCGTATGAGCGGGCGGTGCAGCGTATGAGCGCGCGGTGCAGCGTATGAGCGCGCGGTGCAGCGTATGAGCGGGCGGTGCAGCCCGCGGTGCAGCGTATGAGCGGGCGGTGCAGCGTATGAACGGGCGGTGCAGCGTATGAACGTGCGGTGCAGCGTATGAACGTGCGGTGCAGCGTATGAGCGTGCGGTGCAGCGTATGAGCGTGCGGTGCAGCGTATGAACGTGCGGTGCAGCGTATGAGCGTGCGGTGCAGCGTATGAGCGTGCGGTGCAGCGTATGAGCGTGCGGTGCAGCGTATGAGCGTGCGGTGCAGCGTGAGCGTGCGGTGCAGCGTATGAGCGTGCGGTGCAGCGTATGAGCGTGCGGTGCAGCGTGAGCGTGCGGTGCAGCGTATGAGCGTGCGGTGCAGCGTATGAGCGTGCGGTGCAGCGTATGAGCGTGCGGTGCAGCGTATGAACGTGCGGTGCAGCGTATGAACGGGCGGTGCAGCGTATGAGCGGGCGGTGGAACGTATGAGCGGGCGGTGCAGCGTATGAGCGGGCGGTGCAGCGTATGAGCGGGCGGTGCAGCGTATGAGCGCGTGGTGCAGCGTATGAGCGCGCGGTGCAGCGTATGAGCGGGCGGTGCAGCGTATGAACGGGCGGTGCAGCGTATGAACGTGCGGTGCAGCGTATGAACGTGCGGTGCAGCGTATGAACGTGCGGTGCAGCGTATGAACGTGTGGTGCAGCGTATGAACGTGCGGTGCAGTGCATGAGCGTGCGGTGCAGTGTATGAACGTGCGGTGCAGCGCATGAACGTGCGGTGCAGCGTATGCACGTGCGGTGCAGCGTATGAACGTGCGGTGCAGCGTATGAACGTGCGGTGCAGCGTATGATCGGGAGAAAAAGGGGGTCAAAGGAGGAGGCAGCAAGTAGGACGATAGGACTCACCACAATTGGTGCCAAGCACGTACAGCTTCTCCAATCCTAGATGCTGCTCCACTGCCCTCAATGCTGCCCGGGGCGGCGAGGGGCGGCGAGGGGAGGCGAGGGGCGGCGAGGGGAGGCGAGGGGCGGCGAGGGGCGGCGAGGGGAGGCGAGGGGCGGCGAGGGGAGGCGAGGGGCGGCGAGGGGAGGGGAGGGGACGGGAGGAATGCGAGAGACACACGGAGTGGGCTGAGGGGACAGGGGGGACAGACACAATAAGCTTCTCCAATCCTTACTGCTCCATTGTCCTCAACGCTGTCAGGTGGGCGAGGGTAGAGAGGGAGAGAAGGGACCAGAGGGGGCAGAGGCGCAGAGACGCTGCTATAATGGCGCGACATTTGCTAATCTCAGAAGAGACACTCATGGTTGGCATGGGTACAGCAACAATGGAGCCGTACCCATGCCACTCATGGTTGGCATGGGTAATGACACCCAGCAACAATGGAGCCACTTTCAAGAAGCCGAGTTACTGACGAGGAGAAATCAGGCAGAGGCGCACACAGAAGGTTGTGGGCTCATAGGCGATCAGAGAGCAGCGAGTCGCATCTCGTGTAACACACTCACACCGCACTGCACCGCACAGCACTGCACTCACCCTGCACCTGGCAGCCCACTCCACAGAAGAGCAGCCGCTTCACCCCTGCTGCCTGTAGCACAGCGAGTGGGGATGGGAAGGGGGAGAGGATGCGGGAGCCGGTGTGAATCGTGATGTGTTGATAGTGCTTCACACTTTTCAAATGCAATTCAGCGCATCACATACGGCAACACTGACCCCTGCAAACGACCACAAAGCAGCAGATTCAGGAAGAGTGAGCGGACCGACCGACCACACCCATTTTGGAGGAAAAGAGTCCTCAAAACACGACTTGACTCTAAACATGACTCGACTCAAAACACAACTCATCACACCAACACTGGCTAGGCTCCACAAGCAGCCTAGCCAGGAAGAGTGAGCGGTGTTGGAAGTGGACACTGGAATGGCCCGAAGTGGTCTCCCCAAGGGCTACAGGTGTCGTCCTGGGGGGGTATGGGTGCGCTGACCCACCAAGGAAACATGCCCTTTTAGCCCAGTTGGTTAGCGAACTGGACATGGTGCGGTGAGCGTGGAACGAACACGCATAGATTTCCATCGTCGTTGATATTCGCGTTCGTATACTCGCCTTGGCGTGCGGCGTTAGTGAAGGGCGCTTATTAATCTAAGTTGAACCTCTCTTGATTTCCCTCCAGTTACGTTCTCGGACCCAAGGATAGGGCGTTTGGTAATTTATTACCACTCGTCTGAGGACCCTTGTGAGGTGACCCCGAGACGAGGGATTTAAGGAAGGGACACTTTATATTAATTTGTGGTACCTTATAGAGACGTCGTAGAGGATGAGTACAGAGGAGGCGAACGTGGAGGCCGGTAATTTGCGCGCCCTAGAGGAGGATCTCGTGGCTCGTCATTCTCGTGGTGAGATTAGTGATATCGAATACGAGCTAATGTTGGAGGGATTGCGCTCGCGTCGGCGTCGTGAGCACCCTTCGCCACGTGTAGAGAATGTTGAGCAAGTTGCGGGAGGTACTAGTGCGTGGGATATGGCTGTCGATGGCGGAAACAGCGATGACGAGGAGTTTGATGGGTTGATGTCGCGTGGGGTCCTGCGAGGACCAACTCGGATTAGTACGGCTAGCGTTGGCGGTGTACAGGAGCGTGTTCATCGAGCAGCAGCGTCACGAGAGCATGCGAATGTAGGACGGCGGAGCGTTGCTGGAGGAGGAATTGCGGAAGAGTTTGATAGTGAGGCTATGCCGGGCGTTACCCCGATTGGATCGATGTCGAGGGACGAGGGAATAGCCCCCAACTATGGCTACTTCAGATTCACTCCAGACAAGATCGTTGTCACTAGGCCATTAGAAGGACGTCACGACCTGTCGACGTGGACAGAATCAATCGAGCCGCAGCTTGAGATCGCTCAGCTAAAGCGATTTATAGATGGCACCACCCCCATTCCACCAGCGCGTGCGCTTGCGCATCTCTCTCATTTCCGCGCGATGCAGTTGCTGACATTCACCACCATTTCCCGATGCTGCTCCCCAACCGTACAGATCGCCCTTAAGGCGTGTCGCATGAAGGTCGATGCCGGCTATCAGGCATGGCAGTTTATTATGCGCACGTACATGGCGAAGGACGATCTGTACATCGGTCAGTTAGAGCAGGCGCTCACTAACCTCGAGATGGGAGAGCACGAGTCCGCTACGTCCTATTGCAACCGTGCGCAGCAGATCCTAGTGAACCTGAGGATGGCCGGCGTAGATTACTCGCAGGCGTCGTACATCACTCACGTTGTGAAGGGGTTGCCGCAGCAGTACAACCTCTTACGCAGGATGCTGAAGTTGCCGCAGGTGCGCAAGGAGTTGGACGAGGACACCCTCGCTAGCTACATCATCGAGGAGGAGTGTACGCTGGCGGCAGAGGGACGAAAGAACCAATTCCTTCCCCAGGCTAACCAGGTCTTTACCAAGAAGGGTAAGCCCCAATTCCAGCAGACTTCATTCCCTTCCCCTCCCACTATGGCACAGCAGCAGCAGCCTAAGAATGGGGGTGGGCTTGGTGGGGGAGGGGAGAAGTGGAAAGGGGGTAAGGATGGCCAGCCGAAGGGGGGGAAAGGGGGCTTCAAGGGGAAGTGCTATGTGTGTGGACAAATAGGGCATGTTGCTAAGTACTGTCAGCAGCGGGCGGATAAGGAGGCAGACACCGGTGGAGAGGGTTCTGGAGGTAGCAGCGGAAAGGGGGGTGATGGCTCTTAGGGGAGCGGGCAGTCATCATGTGCGATGGTGAAGCCCGTTGTGGAGCAGACTCCTCTCGTTGTGCTAGAGCCTGAGGCCGGGGAGGGCTTACAGGCTGTTGCAGCTGCTGTGAAGGCGAACCCGAGCGTCGTGCTGCTTGATAGCGGATGCTCCCACCATCTCATGGGAGATCGTTCTGCCTTTGTGGAGATGAGCAGCGGCGGCAGTATTAAACAGGTTACTGGCTTCAACGGCGCGCTTCAGGAGGTCCAGGGGCGGGGCACAGTCGCTCTTCTTGGAGAGGGGGGCAGGCATGTCTTGGTGCCGGACGTGCTGTACGTACCAGGAGTGCAGGCGAGTCTTCTCTCTGCTGGGCAGCTGCGTGATAGTGGTGTGCAGCTGCTGGATGCCGGGGATGTGACTTTGCTGCGGGCACCAGATGGATCGCTCCTTGGTTGTGCCGAGTTCAAGGGGCGTGTTCTCTGCACGAACTTCCAGCCGTGTTCGACGCAGCAGCAGGAAGGCGAAACGGTGGCACTTCGTACCTTGGCGACGGGCGTACGGTCTAAGGGGGACCTGTGGCATGCGCGTATGGCACACGTTGGTATTGATGCCATCGAGCGCACAGCGGCTCACGGGTCAGTGAAGGGCTTGGATTTGGAGAAAGGGGGCAAGTCAGGCATACCTTGTGTCTCCTGTATTGGGGGAAAGATCACTCGTCATACCTTTCCTTCTGTGGGAGAGGAGGAGGATGAGTTGCTCGGGGTGGTGCATGCTGACCTGTGTGGCCCTTTCCGTGAAGCAGCTAAGGACGGCAGCCGCTACTTCTTGGTGCTGAAGGATCGCAAGACGCGATATGTTTGGGCCTACCCTTTGGCCCAGAAGAGTGATGCGCTGGCGGCGTTCCAGAAGTGGCTCCCGATGGCAGAGCGACAGTGCAAGACCACGGTGCAGGCGCTGCGCACTGATCGGGGTGGCGAGTTCCTGGGGCACGACTTCACGCTCTTCCTCGACGGTAAAGGCATCACCCATGACCTCACATGCCCGTACACGCCGGAGCAGAACGGGATGGCCGAGAGGGAGATGCGCAGCATTGTGGAGGCGGTGCGGACGATGTTGCTGCACATGGGTGTGCAGCATCACTGGTGGCACCTGGCGTTGGCTCAGGCCGTCTGGGTGCGCAACCGCGTGGAGCACGCCTCACTACCCTCTGGTGTGACGCCGTACGAGCTCGCCTTCCGACGAAAACCTGATGTCAGTATGGTGCGTGTTTGGGGCTGTATGCTGCAGTACATGGTACCACAGTCGCAGCGTGGGGGGAAGCTGGCGCCTAAGGCTCGCTGGGGGTTGCACTTGGGTGTGTCAGCTGCGAGCAAGGGCTGGGCCGTGCTGGACTTGGAGTCCAACCGCCTCATCACCACTGTGGAAGCTTGGCATCAGCAGGAGCATGGGGGGCGTTTGATGCCCTATAAGCCCCTTCCCTCATTCTTCCCGATCACTCTCGAGGAGGCGGAGGAGGAGGAGGAGGAGGTGGTCGCACCTCCTGCTATGCCCTATGTCCCTGCCGCGGTCCCCACCCCACCTCCGCCTTCGGTCTACCCTCGTGTGATTCCCCCTGCCCCGCCTTTTCCCTCCTCACCCCCCTTGGCTTCCCCTCCTCCTCCTGTTGTTCCATCTCCCCTTCCACCCTCCATCCCTCCTGCACCTACTCCGCCCTCTTCTTCGTCTTCCACGGCGCCGCCCGTTGGTGAGGGGGGGATGGAGGTGCCACCGTCTGTGGAGATCACCGACGGGCAGCGCCTTGAGACTGAGCAGCTGCAGGACGAGAGCAGTATGGATGGAGTACAGCAGAGTGGGGGGCAGGAGACAGGGGAGCAGCAGACAGGGGAGCAGAAGATTGGGGAGCAGCAGACAGGGGAGCCGCAGACAGGGGAGCAGGAGATGTGGGGAATTAGAGATGGTGGTCGTGTGTTGGTTTCTGGGACGACCACTGCACCACTGCGTCGCTCCACTCGCATCACTCGTGGTGTCCCGCCTGTTCGATACGCATGGGCTGTAGTGGTTGAGCCAGCGGGCTTGGATGACGAGGAGGAGGACGAGGAGTGGACTAACCTGGACCCGGACGTGGCAGCTGATCCTGAGAGGCAATGGGACATAGCGAAAATGACAGTGAAGGAGGCCTTGGGCTGCTGGAAGGGAGACAAGGTGAAGGAGGCGATGGATGAGGAGATGCGGAGCTTGATTGAGCAGGGGACGTGGGAGTTGGTTCCGCGTCCGCCAGGGGTGAATGTGATGAAGAACCGCTGGATTTTGAACACCAAGTTTCGACCTGATGCAGCTCGATGTGAAGAATGCGTTCCTCCATGGCGTGCTGGACCGAGACCTTTACATGGAGCAGCCGAGCTACTACGAGGATGGGACTCCTCGTGTCTGTAAGTTGGTGAAGAGTCTGTATGGGCTCAAGCAGAGCTCGATGCTATGGTATGAGGCCTTGGATGGGGTGCTGCTTGGGGCTGGATGGAAGAAGAGCAAGGTGGATGAGGCTCTATACTTCAAGACTGATGCTGAGGGGGAGATGTGCTGGCTGCTGGTGTATGTGGATGACCTGCTTGCTGCCAGCCGCAGTCAGAGCATGCTAGCGGAGCTGCGTGACCTGCTGCAGAGTGCCTTTCAGCTGCGGGAGATTAGCCCTGTGGAGAAATATCTGGGGTTGCAGCTGATTCGGGACAGGCCCACGAGGAGGCTGTGGCTGCACCAGGGGGCCTATGTGGACAAGGTCCATAGGCGCTTCTTTGACGGGGAGCAGCCGCTGCGAGTGCCTCGCACCCCTCTTTCCTCTGACCCTTTCAGTGTGCAGACCTTCGAGGATGTGGGATGGCAGTCTCGCCAGGAGGAGGAGTACAGGCAGAAGGTGGGATCCTTGCAGTTCGCGGCCTGTACCACCCGTCCCGACATCTCGTTCGCCTGCAGCAAGCTGGGGTCGGGCCAGACTGTGCGGAGTGATCAGCACTGGAAGGAGTTGGACCGGTGCTTGACGTACTTGGTGGGGAGCAGGGATGTGGCGCTGGAGTTTGGTGGGGGGCCGGAGTCCTTGGAGCTGGTGGGCTACGCCGATGCTGATAATGCAGGGGACAAGCAGAACAGGACCAGCACAGGTGGCTATGTCTTTGTGCTCGGGGGTGCTGCTGTCTCATGGGCGAGCCAGCGGATTCGTTGCGCCACCCTTTCCTCCACTGAGTCTGAGTACGTTGCTGCTGTGGAGGCTGGGAAGGAGGCGCGCAGGCTGCGCTTCCTGCTGGCAGAGTTTCAACTGCTGAGGATTGAGGAGCCCACGACTCTCTTTGTGGACAACTCCTCCGCCATTTCAGTGGCAGGTGGCATGGGGCAACCAACTGGGTCAAAGGGCATGTTTCCTTGGTGGGTCAGCGCACCCATACCCCCCCAGGACGACACCTGTAGCCCTTGGGGAGACCACTTCGGGCCATTCCAGTGTCCACTTCCAACACTCCCCTCACTGGGAGGGCCCACCACTAGGGCACAGGAAGTCGCCAACAGCAGGAATCGACTGGGGCCCACCACGCTCACCGCACCATGTCCAGTTCGCTAACCAACTGGGCTAAAAGGGCATGTTTGTATAGCGGCTGAGCGCGCCCACGCCTCCCAAGCGCCGAGCTTGTAGCCCTTCCGGCGCCAGACCAGAGGCCAATCCCAGTGTCCTTTCCACAAGCGGGCACCCATCTTGGAAGAAAATACCAAAAAGAGAAACACCACTTTTTTAGGCGCCTAAAAATGCTTTTAAGAGAAACACCTCACACCTCCACAAGAGCGTGTTGAGGTTGGAGGAGAGCGTGGGCTTCACACTTACGTGTCAGCACAGCACAGCACAGCACAGCACAGCACAGCACAACACAACATATTACAACACACCCAAACACCCTGACCACTACTCACCTCCACGAGAGCGAGGGTGTTGAGGTTGGGGGAGAGCGTGGGCTTCACCCCTCTGGCTGCCCTCACCTCCTCTTCTGTCCGAGCCAGAACGGGGCGAGGGGCAAAGCGGTCTGATGAGTCACTGAGATGGGATGGGAGGGAGGGAGGAAACAACGGGAAGGGGAGGTATTATGAGAGCACATGTCAGTGTGCATGAGAGAGTGGGCTTGACCCCTCTGGCTGCCATCACCTCCTCCTCTTTTCGAGCCAGCACAGGGCGAGGGGCGAAGCGGTCAGATGGGTCGCTGGGAGCGTGGTAAGGGAGGGAAAGGAAGTGAATGAGTGGCGAGACGTTTCTATGCCAATGACAGCGCATGGCAGAGTGTGAATGAGTGGGATTTCACCCCTCTGGCTGCCATCACCTCCTCCTCTGTCCTCACCAGCACGGGGCGCGGTGTGAAAACGGTCAGAGGGGTCACTGAGAGTGGGAATGGGTGTGGAGGTAGAGGAAGGAGTGGAGACGATTCTATGCCAATGACAGCATAAGGCAGACCCCTCTGGGGAAGGAGAGGCGGGAGTGGGCTTGCCCCCTCTAGCCAACAATTACTGTCCCCACCAGCACGGGGAGAGGGGCAAAGCGGTCTGACGGGTCACTGGGATGGGGAGGAGAATGGAGGCGCGGAAGAAGGTGGGTGGGTGATGGAGGATGGGAGATGGTTTCTGCTGAGTTGACTTGGCCCCTTGGGATGTTTATTGTCCTCATCACCCCCTTCTCTAACGATTTTTGTGGCGCCTAAAAAGATTGGCTGAGTTGAGTTGGGATTTTTTTTCCCACCGCATGCACCCTTTTTGAGGCGCCTCATAAAGTGTCAGCAATGCTCAAGCGCACCACCGCATGCACCCTTTTTGAGGCGCCTCATAAAGTGTCAGCAATGCTCAAGCGCACCACCGCATGCACCCTCTGCAAAGCGCCATCTCCTCCCCCCACACACCCACCTCTGCAAAGCGCCATCTCCTCCCCCCACACACCCACCTCTGCAAAGCGCCATCTCCTCCCCCCACACACCCACCTCTGCAAAGCGCCATCTCCTCCCCCCACACACCCACCTCTGCACACAGATCACAGCATCAACCTTGCCCGTCCTCAGCATCTCCACGGCTATGGCTGTCACCACGCCCGTCCACTGCGCTCCTGGTGAAGGGAGGGAGGGTTGAAGGAGTGAGAGAGCAGGGATGGGGAAACAGGAGTGGTTGAGGGAGAGCGGCACATAGCAGCAGCATATGCACTGCTATTGGCGTCACCACGCCCGTCCACTGCGCTCCTGGTGGTGAGGGGGCAAGGAGAGGTCAAGGGGAAAGAGTGAGTGGAAAGGAGGGGCGCGTGAAATGAGGAGGAGAGGAGAGCAGGAGGGGAGAGTAAGATGAGAATGAGAAGAACGTGTTTCTCCACGTCCATATGGGACTGATTCTCGGCAGGGAGAAAAAGGAAGGCAGGGAGAAAAAGGAAGGCAGGGAGTGCACTCATGGGGCGCATGCACTGGAACCACCGCAGAGGCGGAGTGCTGGCTCTGTTGCTTTCACCTGGCCAGGGAGGTGCTGTCTCTGTTGGATTCACCTGGCAGGGGGGGCGTGCGGCGCGCATAGAGCATCTCCTGATGCACCCCGAAGTGAAACTCGTCCTCGTCGCCCTCCCTCCTGCCCCGCCCGTGCACCCGTGCTTCCATGGGCTGCAAGGGGGTTGATAGCACAGTCAATGCAGTTAACAGGGGAGGGGGGAACACAGGGTGTTTAAAGGGTCAACACGTCACGTCACAGCACACCCCCAAGTGAAACTTGTCCCCATCGCCCTCTCTCCTGCCCCGCCTGTGCACCCGTGCTTCCATGGGCTGCAAGTGGCGGTCAACGAAGTCAAAGCAATCAATCCGGTCAATACGGGGAAATACAGGGAGTGTAAAGGGTCAGACGTCACAGTACACCCCAAGTGGAACTCGTCCTCATCGCCCTCCCTCCTTCCACGCCCGTGCACCTGCGCTTCCATGGGCTGCCACTGGCGGTCAATGCAGTCAATAAAGTCAACAGGGGGAGATGGAGGGAGTTGAAGTCAACACAGAGCACAGAGCACACGGAGTAGAGTCACAAATCAGACAGCAGAGCAGCACATATCACACTCACACACTCACATATCACACCCCACGCGGCACGCACCTCGATCCTGCCCATGCCGTCCCCGAGGAAGGCACATGCGTCCTTCACATGCGCGATGTAGTAGGTGTCGCACAGCCCGCACTGGCTGCGTGTTAAGTGGGGAGATGGGAATGAGGAGAGACGGCGATGGGGGAGGGATGGGAAAGGGGGAGGGAGGAGGCATCCGCAATGTGTGTGTGTGTGTGTGTGTGTGTGTGTGTGTGTGTGTGTGTGTGTGTGTTTGTGTGTTTGTGTGTGTTGTGTGTGTGTGTGTGTGTGTGTGTGTGTGTGTGTGTTGTGTGTGTGTGTGTGTGTTGTGTGTGTGTGTGTGTGTGTGTGTGTGTGTGTGTGTGTGTGTGTGTGTGTGTGTGTGTGCGTGCGCGATATTGTTTGGTGTTCTGCTTTGATCATACCTACGTACTTGATTCTCGTTACAGTCACACTCACCTGCAGTGGTCCTTGGCGGGATAATTCCCGCCAGGCTTGATTGCCCGCGCTTTCGTCCGCCAATCGGCCTCCGCCGTTCCGCCGCTTCCCCTGACCGCGCCCTCGGGCCCTGCGCGCACTGGCACCTGCGCATGGCGCAGGCGTGCGCGGAAAAGGGGAGACGGCGGAAAACGGAGAGCCTCCCCGCGGAACTGGCTGGAATTTGAAGCGCCGGCTGAGGGAATGGCGGCGCGGGGGGAAGCGGAAGACGCGCTGGGGGAAGCGGCGCGCGGATGGAGGCAATCGGGCGCGATTGCGCTCGCCGACAGAAACGATGCTGTTCCTACCATTCTGAATGTAGGAGACCAGAACGTCTTTATTGAACACCGAGGAAACGCGGTACTATGGAGATTACCTCTAGAGATTAATTTAGCCCCAGGAAACTATAGTTTAACCTCCGACCACGTAGGTCGCATAGCCGAATGAAGTCGATTTCGCCGTGTTTCCCAACGAAGCACCCAGTGCGTCTCTCCGCGTATCGTGCTACCGTTCGGAGGACCCACAGGGTAGACTGCGCGGATCAACTGGTTCCTGCGCTCTTGCTAGTCCCTAGACGAATGCGGATGCGGCGGATATCTCGAGGAGGATATGATAGTTTCAGTGAGTGATTCGATAAAAGGCAAACGAGGTCCAGACTGAGTTGAGAGTGTAGGGAGGGATCTCGCCAGATCCGTACGCATTTTCGAGATTCTTGGAAGCCACGAACTGAACGGGTGCCACGTCAACGGTCAGGCATTTGGAGTCAGCCGAGGTTCACAGAATCCAAACTTTGTACACGCAAAATGCCTAGAAACCATGAATATACATAATATTTATAGCCTTCCCTCAAGTCCAGCTGATTAATTAATATTTATTGACTAACTCTGCAGCACAGGCAGAAATCTATTCACAAACCTGCCAAATCCTTAAAGGCTGCCTACAAAACAAATTAAAAATTCTAAAACCAAACCCAAAATCCCTAGAACCAAGCCCCCAAGTCCCACTCCATAAAACTACCTTCACCCCAATCCACATGGCAAATCACCTACCCAGCCACCTTGGGAAGAGTAATGCCTAACCTAACCACAAGTCTAGCTCCCACTGCTGCTGCTGGCTCCTACCAGTTGATCCCTCCCTCCCTCCCCTTCTCTTCCTTCCCCTTCCCCCTCTCTCCCCTCCCCTCCCCTCGCCTACCCCTGCTGCCACGCCTGCAAAAACCGCCTCCTCCCCACCTTCCTTCCTTGCCACACCTGTTTCTTGTTATTGTCTCAACACACCACTCCCCCCTTTCTTCATCTTCCCAAACAGCAGCTCGGGCAGCTTCGGGCGGCGGTACATCCGCAGCATAAGAGACGAGCACACCACGCTAACAGACGAAAGCGCCATCATTGCGCCGGCCAGCCAGGGCGGCAGCCGCACCATAAACACCGGATACAGCACCCCGGCCGCCAACGGAATCAGCAAAACATTATACCCCATCGCGAAAACATAATTCCATCTGATCCGCGAAAAAGTCTTCCTCGCCAGATCCAGCGCTGTAATCACATCCTCCAGATTCGACCGCATGAGGACAAAATCTGCCGCCTCAATAGCGACGTCCGTGCCGGCACCAATTGCAATACCAACATCAGCTGCAGCCAGGGCCGGCGCATCATTTATCCCATCCCCCACCATCGCCACCACTGTCTTGCTCTCACTCCCACTCAAACCCACAGCGGCAGCAGCAGAGGAGGCAGCAGCGGCACATGTGGAGCAGCAGGCAGAATCGCCCCAGCCAAGGACATGCCCCACACGAGACATCAACCAGCACCAACACCCGCACCCGCAGCAGCTTCTGTTGCTGCCGGGCGCAGGGTCGAGTGGGGGAGGCGCCATCTGCAGCGAGCGAATGGCGGCTGCTTTGTGGGCCGGCAGCACCTCTGCTATCACTTCGTGGATGCCCAGCTGGTGGGTGGGGAGGGGAGGAGGAAGGGGCAGGGGTGGAGGGGGGTCGGGTTAGCACTGGGGGAGGTGCCGTCTGCAGCGAGCGGATGGCGGCTGCTTTGTGAGCCGGCAGCACCTCTGCTATCACCTCGTGGATGCCCAGCTGCAGTGGGTGGGGAGGGGTGGGGAGACGGGGGGGGAGAGGTAGGAAGCTGGGGGAAGTAAGGGAGGCCCAGCACCTCTGCAATCACCTCTTGAATGCCCAGAGAGGGGTGGGGAGCGTAGACATTGAATGAGAACACCAGAGCAGCATCTCACCTGTCATTCAAGAGCAGCATCTCACCTGTCATTCAAGAGCAGCATCTCACCTGTCATTCAAGAGCAGCATCTCACCTGTCATTCAAGAGCATCTCACACAGCATGGGCAGTGCGGCGGTTGCTCCCTGTCATCATCACATGCCCCCACGCCCACGCGCCTCAACCCACCATGGTCCTCCCCACCCAATTTTTGAGGCACCTCAAAACTCAACCACCATGGGCTTCCCCCCCCCACCCATCCACACCACACCTGCGCCTGTGCCTCACCTGTCTCGCCACGGCATGGGCAGTGCGGCGGTTGTCCCCTGTCATCATCACAGCGCGCACACCCATGCGCCTCAGCCCCTCCACCACCACTGCAGCCTCCCTCCTCACCGGATCACTAATCACCACGCTCCCCACCACCCTCACTCTCTCCTCCCTCACTCCTCTCCCCTCCTCCCTCCCACTCCCCTCCGCCTCGCCCCCTCCCTGCCTGCCGCCCACTGCCACGATGACACCTGTCCGCGCCTCCTCCTCCTGCGCCTGCAACAGAAGATCCACCTGGGCAGGCACCTGAACGCCCAGGTGTTCCATCAGGTGCCGGCTACCCACCAGAACCACCTGACCATCCACCCTGCATCGGATTCCCATCCCTGCTAGCACCTCACACTCTGTGGCTTCTTTCATCCAGCTCACATCCTTGGAAGGTTTGAGAGACGATGCAGCAGAAGGGGAGAGAGAGGAGCAGGTGGAGGAGGGGGAGGAGGAGAAAGGAGTGGTAGTCTCGTCCCCAGTAAAACCTTCCCCGGAAAAGACGAAATAGTGCTGCGCATAGTCCAAAATCGCCCGCCCGAGCGGGTGTTCGGAATTTGCCTCTGCTGCCGCTGCTAGGGATAGCAGCTCGGCTTGAGATATGGCCTCATTATCACACCCCTCGTTAGTAGCACAGTGCCCCTCGCTAGTAGCACACCCGAAACCACCAACATAAGGCACCACTGCTACCACACTCGGTTTCCCCACTGTCAGCGTTCCCGTCTTATCAAAAGCAACGCATGTGACTTTATGTGCTGCTTCTAGCGCCTCGCCCCCCTTTCATAAGCACGCCCTGCGCCGCCCCCACGCCCGTTGCGACCATGACTGCCGTGGGGGTGGCTAATCCAAGCGCGCAGGGGCACGCTATAACGAGTACGGCGATAGCGAAGAGGAGCGGGAGGGTGAACTGCGAGTCTACCCCCGGGGGAAGCATGGCGGATGAAATGCACCCCATGCTCCCAGCCATGAACCTGGGGCGTGGGGGAAAGGGTAGAAAAATGCAGAAGGGCAGAGAGAGGAGGTGGGAAGAGAGGAAGATGAGAATATGTGAAGAGAGCGGTGAGCGAGAGAGGAGTGGGGTGGAGAGGAGCTGAAAATCAACATCACGAGCAAATTGAAGCGGAAATGCACAGCATGCATGCTTCCAGCAATGAACCCATTAGACATAAACCACATGAGCCGGTGACTGGTTACACCCACCAGCAAAGCCACATGAATTTCAGCCCAACAGGCACGAAGCAGCAGGGTAGACCTCAACGCACCAGCAGAGCCCGCGTGCACGCTAGACCTCAACGCACCAGCAGAGCCCACGTGCACGCTGAGAGCAACCACCACGGGTACAAACACCGTCGCCACACCCATGCATGCACACATGCGTGTCGTTGCAAGGACATACAAAGAACCTTCAACTCACCAGCAGAACCATGTGTCCTTGCAAACACGTGCATGCTGACAGCACCACCACCACGGCCACAAACACCGCTGCCACACGGTCGGCATACCAACACACCCATCCACACATCATGATAGCATCAGAGCAAGGATAGAACCACTCACCAGCAGAACCATGTGCATGCTGACAGCACCACCACCACGGGCACAAACACCGCTGCCACGCGGTCGGCGAATTTCTGGATGGGCGCCTTGCTGAGCTGCGCCGACTCCACCAGTGCTACTATCTGCGCCAGAGCCGTCTCGCTGCCCACCTGTTGGTGCAAGCATGGGATCACAGGGGAAGGGACAAGGGGCAATGCAGGGAGACGGAGGCAGGGGGCAGGAGGCAGCAGGCAGAGGGGGTAGACTTCTGGATGGGCGCCTTGCTGAGCTGCGCCGACTCCACCAGCGCTACTATCTGCGCCAGAGCCGTCTCGCTGCCCACCTGGCATACACGGAAGAAGAGGGGGCAAGACGCACACAGAAAAAAGGGGCAAGGCACAGTGAGCGAACTGCTGAGCTGCGCTGACTCCACCAGCGCTACTATCTGCGCCAGAGCTGTCTCGCTGCCCATCTGGTGTGCAAAAGAGGGGGCAAGGAGAACACAGGGACGGAAGGAGGGAACAGGGGGCGTCCTTCTGGATGGACGCCTTGCTGAGCTACACCGATTCCACCAGTGCCACTATCTGCGCCAGAGCTGTCTCGCTGCCCACCTGTCAGTGTGCGCGTGTGGGAAGGGGATGAGGGGGGGGGTAATGGGTAAAGGAAGGGGAAAGAGAAAAGGCGGAAAGGGGGAGCGGAAAGGGGGAAGCGGAAAGGGGGAAGCGGAAAGGGGGAAGCGGAAAGGGGGAGCGGAAAGGGGGAAGCGGAAAGGGGGAAGCGGAAAGGGGGAAGCGGAAAGGGGGAAGCGGAAAGGGGGAAGCGGAAAGGGGGAAGCGGAAAGGGGGAAGCGGAAAGGGGGGAAGAAGGGGGAAGGGGGACGGGAAGCGAAAGGGGAAGAAGGGGGACGGGGAAGAGAGCCTGGCACATTGGCGGGACCCTCAGCCCTTGGCCAGTTACAGCCTACTGTGTATAGCCTAGCCCTCCCATGTACACCTGGAATTCACCACCCACCTGAGTGGCTCGCAGTAACACTCGTGCTGACAGGTTGACTGTGCCGCCCAGAAGGCGCAACCCCGGCCCCTTGGCCACAGGTGCTGCCTCGCCCGTGAGCATGGACTCGTTCACATGCGTGGTGCCTGCAGGTGGGGGGGTGGACGGGACAACCAGCAGGGAGAGCACGAGAGGAGAGAGAACAATGGAGGCATGAGAGGGACGGGCGGGTGGAATGAGCATCACTGGCATGGGGCATGGCAGCCTTAGCCACCGGTGCATTGGTGCGACTTTTGAAACTTCTCAAAAGTCGCACCAGCATGGCGCCCTGAGCCACCGGTGCTGGTTCGCTTGTGGGCATGGACTCGTTCACGTGGGTGGTGCTTGGGTGGGTGGAGTGGTGGGGCAGGTGGATGGGGGACAAGGAGAAAGGTGGGAGGGATATGAGTCAGGGGAGCACCGCAGCACGGCTCCCTTGGCCACGGTGCCGCTGACTCGCCCGTGAGCATGGACTCGTTCACGTGGGTGGTGCCTGGGGGGGGGTGAAGGGACGGTTAGGGCAGAAGGGAAGAGAAGCGCCATGAGTGTCACTCACATGCTGTCCCACCCCACCCCCTTTGCCACCGGGGCTGACTCGCCCACCAATCACCCAATCACCCAACCACCCGTTAAAATCACTCCGTCTGTGCGCACTCTTGCCCCGGGCAGCACTCGCAGCACGTCAAACTGGCCCCATTCGACCTTCTATCACTCCCACCAACTACGCTCCTTACGCTCCTTCCACTCTCCAGCCAGCCACTCACCCGTTACAATCACACCGTCTGTGGGCACCCTCGCTCCCGGCAGCACTCGCAGCACATCCCCTCTCTGCAGTAGCCGTGAATCAACCTCCCTCTCTGCCACCACCTTGCCGTCTGAAGGGGTTGTGAGGGGTGGAGTGGGAAAGAGAGGGGCGAGGGTGAGACACAGGAGATGGCAGCACGCAGACAGCGCTCCCCTTCTCTGCAGCAAGCGTGAATCAACCTCCCTCTCCACCACCACCTTGCCGTCTGAAGGGGTGAAGAGAGTGGGGTGGAGAGGGTGAAGGGATGGTGAGAGGGGAAGGGAGAGGCAAAGGCGTCAGTACTGGCAGCACATCGACCCTCTGCAGCGCCGCGAGCCAACTTCTCTCTCTGCCACCACCTTGCCGTCTGGTGGGATGAGGAGAGGAACAGAGGGGAAAGAGAGGGGAAGAGAAGGGGAACGAAGCAGAGAGAGTCAGCACTTGAGGCACAAAACAAAGCACATCTGCAGTCACACCCACCGGCACAGCCATCAGAGGTGCCAGCTGCGGCGGCTTCTTACCAGCACTACATCTGAACCGTGCATTCAGAGCAGTCATTCCGTACCTGCATTCAGAGCAGTCATCCCGTACCTGCATTCAGAGCAGTCATTCCGTACCTGTATTCAGAGCAGTCATTCCGTACCTGCATTCAGAGCAGTCATTCCGTACCTGCATTCAGAGCAGTCATCCCGTACCTGCATTCAGAGCAGTCATTCCGTACCTGTATTCAGAGCAGTCATTCCGTACCTGCATTCAGAGCAGTCATCCCGTACCTGCATTCAGAGCAGTCATTCCGTACCTGTATTCAGAGCAGTCATTCCGTACCTGCATTCAGAGCAGTCATTCCGTACCTGCATTCACGTCCACCAAGACGGCCGTCGCGGGCGCCAGCTGCAGCAGCTTCTGAATCGCCTCGGACGTTTTCCCCTTCGCCACGGCTTCTAAATACTTTCCCCCCAGAATAAACACTATCAGCATCACAGACGTTTCGAAGAAATCGTGCCCTAAGTACCGCCCCGAACCGATCTGCACCGCGAGGGTCAGCAGAGAGTAGCCATAGGCCGCGGAGGTCCCGAGGGCGACCAGCACGTCCATATTCGCGCTGCCGTGGCGGAGCGATCTGAGCCCTGCGATGTAGAATCGACGGCCCAGATGGAACTGCACGGGCGTCGCGAGGAGGAGCTTCAGCCATTGGATGAGGGTCACGTGGAGGAAGGGGAGGGAGAGGAGCGGGGAGAGGAGGCGGGAGTGGGAGGCGAGGTTGAGGAGAAAGAGGGGGACGGCGAAGAGGAGCGAGAGGGAGAACTGGCGCGTGAGCGAGTGGAGCTCTGAGGAGCGGTCGGGACGGTACGAGCCGAGCATGCTCGGCAAGGCAACACGTAGCCCATGCGAGTGCGCATTCTTTCCTCCTCTCCCTTCTCCTCTCCTTTCCCCCCGCCTGTCTTCTCGCCTCCTGCTGACCTTCTCCGCGCCCCCATCGCTCCCCGACCCTCCCCCTCCCCCCTCCTTCCTCGCCGTCCCCGTTTTAAGGGTTCTGGACACTAGCTTCAAGACTGCATGGGCCCGTTCTGCCCACGGGCCCCGCTTCTTTCCTCGCCCGACCAGCTTCTCCCTCTCCTCGTCCTCTTCCCCACTCTCCTCCTTCACTCCCTCCTCCATAACTCCCTCTTCATCTCCCTCTCTCCCTTCCCCTTGCCTCTCCTCACTACCTTCCTCCTCTCCCTTCCCCTCCTCCCCATCCTCCCCCAACCAATCATCAACCTCCTCCTCTTCCTCCTCCCCACCCATCCCTAACCCCACCAGACTAATCGCCTCTATAGCTCCCACAACGTCCCTAATCCCCGTAATTTCCGGGTCGTATTCTACCTCCACCCATCCGCTCCTAGAATCTACACTTACCTCCCTAACTCCCGCCACCGATAACACCGCTACTTCGACCGCAGCTGCCACGTCATCCCTGCCGCTCATCCCCGTTACAGTCACGCTCAGCCTGTCGCTCCCGCTATCCGTGCCGAGAATCGCGGCGTCGAACCCGGCATCTTCCACCAATCGCAACGCGTCTCTCACGCCGAGAATCGCGGAATCGAACGCGATCTCCGCGGTTTCGGTGGCGAGTGCGACGGAGACGCGTCGCACGCCTTTCGCGGATTGGACGGCGGTGGTAACCGCTGTAACGCACGCGGCGCAGGTCATGCCGGTTATGCGCACTCGCACTGTGACAACGCCCGGCGAATGCGGACCGGATAATGCTGCATCTTGCGACGGAGCCGTTGCCGGTGCTGCCGCTGCCGGTGATGCTGCTGCTGCTGCTGCTGCTGATAGCGGCTGTCCGATTTGCGACCGTTGGGATGACATTTCGAACGGTTGCGAGGAGGAAAGAAGGGGATTCGCGACAGACGCGGTGACCGCACTCGAGACCAGATTCGAGACCGCAAAAGGCTCGGTTCCTGCCGTTTGCTGCGGTCGCGAGGGTTGTGAGGGTCGCGAGAGGGAGATGATTCTAGCGTCGAACCCGGCGTCTTCTACGGCGGTGACTATCTCGTTTTCATTCACTACAGCGGGGTCGAACGTGATCTGAGCTTGGTTCTGCAGCAGCGCGACGGCCGCGGCCGTGACTCCCGGCAATCTCGAGAGAGCGGTTTCCACGGCGGTCGAACACGCCGAACACGTCATGCCCTCGATTCCCACCACCACGCGCGCTGACGTGGCAGTAACGGAAGCTGCCGACGTGGAAGGTGCCGTCGCAGTTGGCACAGTTTCTGCTGCGCCATAAGCGGAGGTAGTAGCAGCAACCAGCGAAGCAGAGGGAACGGCAGGTGGATTAGCGGAAGCCGGAAACTGACGGACGGATGGTCGCGAAAGAGATATGATTTTCGCGTCAAACCCGGCGTCTTCTACGGCGGTGACTATCTCGTTTTCATTCACTATAGCGGGGTCGAACGTGATCTGAGCTTGGTTCTGCAACAGCGCGACGGCCGCTGCTGTGACTCCCGGCAATCTCGAGAGAGCGGTTTCCACGGCGGTCGAACACGCCGAACACGTCATGCCCTCGATTCCCACCACCACGCGCGCTGACGTGGCACTCGCCACTGCTGATGACGTGCCACCTGGCGATAAAGTCGCCATTGCTGGCGATAGTACCGCCTGGCTGGACAAGAACGGTATGAAAAGGCACGCGTCAACTGCAGCTCGTTAGAATATAGTTAAAATCCACGCAAACCTATCTGGCCTGCTAATGTTTTGCAACTTATGCGTGTCATGAAAGATAAACTAGCTACGGGAAGAAACCCAATGCGCAGGAGACGAAAACTCCCATCCACTGACTCCGCTCCCTGCTCGAGGACTAAGGTAGACTTCTATGCGGGTCAAAAAAAGACAGGCACAATTACTGCTGCACTTCCAGCGATGTACGCGTTGCTTGCTTCTAAAGAGAGCTGTCGGTCAAAGTGAGTTCTACGATTGGAAAGGCCATACCTTCATTGACCGGTTACCGTTCTCGCACCTCTTCGTGAAGACATCTCGCTACGTGCAAACAGTTCGCCGCCCGCTGCACATACGATGCTGTGACCAGGGCTGTCGATTCAAGGGCATTTGCCCTTAATGCCCTGAACATTCCGGATTATGTTCGGCGCAGCTCGACCATTTTAAGGGTTTGATTCGACTGGCACTCGTGCCAGTTAAGGGCATCGTTTAGCCCTTCCCCGGACGCGTTAAGTGCTCAATCTGCGCCGTCCCCTGAATCTAAGATATACTTTCGGTTCCGCAGAAGCCCCCCCCCAAAAATCTTGCGGAACACCCCCCTCCCCTAACCACCCCCTCTTTCCATAAAAGTTGCACAATAGAGCGCTAGGTGGAGGATGTTTCACTCGATTTCTATCCAATCTAGTGTGTGTCTAGTGTCGAAGTCAGCAGATGAGTAGAAATGCAGTAGGTAGTGCAGCTGTAGTTGAAGTTGGAGTTGTGACATACAGGTTGACTGGAGTAGTTAGCAGTGAAAAGTATGTGATTTTCTTGTCTAGGATGTTGTTTAGGTTAGTTAAGTACACAACACTTTGGAGCCCAGATTTCAAGTCTACACTGGCCTGCACCCGTGACCGTTAAGGGCAAATTTTTGGTCACCTCCCTGAAAATCAGGGTCAGAATTTCAGCAGCTGAGGGCCTCAAGTTCTGCCCCCAGGGATATCGACAGCCCTGGCTGTGACGAGGGTTTTGCTCGTAGGGGCCGTGAGGTGAAGCGGTCTTTCTTGGTGACGGCTGGATGGATGGATGGATGGCCGCTCTGCGACGACAGAGCCGAGGAATGCGGAGGCCACAGGGAACGAGCGACGGTGATTTTAGGACCGTGTGTGCGACTCAGTGACCACGATTGTGCTTGCTGAATGGACGACGGGCGTTTTTAATCGGGTGTGATTTTCTCGAAATACGCTGTGCGACGTGCTGTGTCGATTGGGCGATGTCCTATGTCATCGTCGTGAGCTGTGTGAGTCGTACAAGGCAACGGTCAGGAAAGCACTGCGGAAACACCTCGTGTCACTGTGTACGTACTCGTTTCATCCATCTCTGATGTCACCTTATCAATGCATTGAGGTACACGGAATAAGGGCGTATCCAGGCTCGGGTCATGGGCGGATGACCCGAACAACATAAAACGCCACTTTGGGTCCTCCGAACTCATGCGACCCCCAAAGAGCCGCGAAGGTTTTAGCGCCAAAATCAGGCTCCCCACAACAGTCGCATCCAATGGAGGGATGCCAGAACAGTTCGAAACATCCTTAGCAAGACCCACGCGAAACCACGCGAAGCCCAGCGAAAAAACACAATCGTCAAAATTCCCGGCGTGAATCCCCGAATGCTGGGAGGGCGACGCGGGAAATTTTTGACCCACTAATGGTCACTGGGGTCAATTTGCCGAGTGGCTGGGTGCAGAGGGGTAAGACGTGGGACATTGCCCACGTGTGACACTCGACTGACGACCGCCAAAAAATGGCAGTAAATCCAGAATCGTGCAACCAGGTGATTGGTTGGGGGTGGGTCGTGCACGTCAGTCGCCCAACACCTGCACATTGACCCAAAGCTGGGGCCGCGCGCGGCTCGGCAGCCCACTTCGGGTCATGCGCAAATTCCGCATGACCCGAACAGTAGCCAGAACAGTGCTCATGACCCGAGCCTGGATACGCCCTAAATCAACAATGATGTAGAATTAACGCGGATAAAAAGTACTAGTGTAGCTGACAAGCCAACATCCGCTACACTTGTGCTTTTTTTCATCCATCTTTAGCCAACTGAAACCGTAAGTCAATGTTCTGATGAGCTAGTGGAGGCATTTTGTGGGAGAACTGCTTTTTCTATCAACCTCTGCCACCTCTCAAATCATGCCGTACATTAACTGTCAAAGCGCGGAGGAAGGAAAACGTTGAAAAGCACTTGTACGTCAAGCAGTCAGGACGCCTATTTTGGAGGCAAACACAACGAAGAACCAACTTTCATCGGATCAACGCATGGCCTTCCGCTGTTAGCAGAGCGGAAAGTGGAGGGACTTCTGTAATAATAAAGGTAAAACAGGCGCACGCAGCTGTCGGTGGGAAGTACGCGATACGTACGCCCGGATGCGCAGCGCGGTCCTCCCGAACCTCCAATTGGGCCACTTGGCGGCGCCGGCGGCGGAATTTCTCGTCGAGGCTGGCCTTGAGGGTTCGTTTGCGAAAGCGGGGGTTTTGGCCGCATAGGGAGTTGTTTCGCAGCAGCCACAGAGGATGGACCTGCGATCATATGGAGGGGAGGGGATGATTGGAAGAGTGGCGATGAAAGGAGATTGAAGGAAAGAATGCGGTGTAGATGACTTTAAAAGTATTTCGATATTTGTTTTCCTGCTTAATTTGTGATAAGGGCCTCGGGAGCAAGAAGGAACAAGCCGTTTTGTGCTATTTAAAACGTCGAGACTCGCCCAGCTACAGCCGGGATTCGCCAGGAGGAGGCGGAATTTGTTAGCACGCTCGGAGAGGTAAAGACCATCGAGTCGACCGTGCGATTGTGGACGCACCATGAAATAAGATCAGAATTCCAAGCAGCGCCACAAGGAGCGTTCGTAACCAAGTATTCATGCCCTCTGACCTATGACTCCAAGCTAGCTAACCTGATTTGAACGAACGCGTGATCAAAGATCTGCTTGAGGTAAAACGATTTTGTGTTAGCGAAATTCGAAAACTGGACTCCTAAACATGAACATATTAGCACAGACGCCATGGGAGAGGGGCGGTGCAGGCAGGTGCGTCCAAGGAATGTAGGTTGAGAACTGCAAGAGGTGAAAGGATCAACGGACATTTATTGACAATGCGTTCAGATAGAACTTGGGACCCGACGAATCGTGTTGTTGGTGGTGCGGCTGTGGGGCGGAGTCAGATTTGTGGAAGAAATGACTGCGTTGCGAGCGAGTTGAAGTTATGCGACGCGTACTGAAGAAGTTGTGATAACTCTTTTGAGTTCCACTACTGTTATGGTGTGCAGTGCAGATGTATGTCAATGTTATTGCAGGCTTACAAAACATTCAATATTCTGAACAAAACACCAAACATTATTGCTTCGACCCGGTTCATTGACGCATCTTCATTGACAAATAAATTACACGATTTGCAGTGCTGGCAAGTATGCACTCATGCTATCTGCAATATGCAATCCCACAGCAACAAGGAGGAACACGCCTATTATTAGACAGCCTGCTGCTGAAGCAGTTTATTGTGCAAGGCCCTTCTGGGATTGTGCAAGGCCCTAGCTTTATTTTGGCAAGCACAAGGTGGAGCCAACCTTGAGGGGCTCAACGCACTTGTACCCGTTAAGCTGCTCAAACAGTTGAGCCCGCTTCTTGTACAAATCTAAAATCAAGTCGGAGCATGTGTCTGTGATTCGCACCGTCCTCGACTCTCCTGCACAAGCGGCCATAGTCGGAAGAGCTGGAAAAAGGGAGCACGGAGAGCACGCATAAAAAGAAGAAGGGAGACAAGAGGAGTGATTACTGATATGCGAAACGAGAAAAGGTGATCCCCACGAGATTTTAGAATAACGGGTCAGAAGCCAGTGCGAGATCGGCAGTTCGCCTAGACAAAGGATGAACTAGCATTGGCGGTTCATCTAGTCTACAAATAAATGAGCACGACCGCTCACCAGCAGAGACGAGGAGGACGGCTGCAATCGCTACGATCAGGAGCTTCATGCGAGTCCTCATTGTGTCAATTAATATGAACTTGTTGAAATATGAAATTATGAAGACAGTACGTCAGCGAAGTTAAAGAGGCACAGAACGATGACTAAGGCTAAAAGAGGAGGAGGACGCTGCAAATGCTATTGAAGGGAAGCTCGAGCACATCTAAATACCAGTCTCAAAGATTCCAGTTTTAGCCTCTGTCTGTGCAAATCGATCGCCAAACGCGGTGTCCGCGCCCTGCCGCAGGGAGTTTTCGAAGCGCGATGTGACGCCATCTGTGTCGTAATGAAACTGTACGTGATGACAAAGTCAGTGATGGTACCACGCAACCATGGGAGTATGCCATAAACATCCAGAAGCGACTCGGTTGCAGGAGGTACATTCGTTGTGGGAGGTGCATCCGAGGCTGTCGTGGAACTGGAGTGTGGGTTTGACAGTTGTGGCACGAGGATAACAAGCGAAGAACCTGTGGGTATTGTGGTAAGATAGGTGGCGCAAATGGTTTCCACCTGCGAGCGCAGAGTTTGTGGTGTGGTGATGTGCCGGTACAGTGGCGCTCGATACCAGTTACGACTGTGGATGTACCCACTTAATAATTGTAATACGTCCCTACAAAATAGTGGCGCTCGATAAATTGAAACATCCACAACAAAAACAGATGTCATTACCGTATGTTGGAACTGGTAAACTCGCTGGTGAATACCGTATGTGAAGCAATTTATGGTTTAAATTTTACATTATCACAGTGCATGAACAGTTGCATTTGGGTGGACCTTCACGCACGTAAACATGTTCTTCCTTGCTGATTTTCAGGAAATTTGTGAGACAGCCGCTTGGCTTGGCTACCATTGCGCCATTGCGATTACGGTAGCCTTGTAGTGAAGGACCAAATGCTTTGATGGGCGAGGGAGGAATGGTTAACTATGGAAAGAAAAAGTTGTAGGGGGTTAAAGGTGTTGGAAATATATTTGTGTGTTATTTATCTTGCAGTGCACTGTTCGAAGTGCAGAAGCGAAGCCCTCAATATCGGGGATGTTGACTCAAGTATCGAACTGCAGGGGCGCAACCGCGTACAGTGGTTGCGACCCGCGTGGCAGCCGAAGGGTCGAATTGAGCAAGAGGCAGCGTCTACAGTACGCGAAACCACCCTGGAGGCGCGGCAGAATACCGCGCCCTTTCCGAAGCTGAAAGGTCTCGCCAGTAACTGGGCAACTGAAACGTTACAGCGCAACTGTAATACAGTTGCGCCTTGGTAACTGCCTCCCTGCTATGTTTCCTATATAACTCAATGTACTGCCATGCTATCATTACACAATTCTCAAGCTTGTGTCCGGTCTACCCTCGGCCGCCGCTTTGGCACCAAGTTACAAGCCAGGAGAGCTACCTCTGAGTGACCATAGCCCCGCCGCTGGGACGTCGTTATTTCCTAGAGTATTTCCGCTACTCTAGCGACCTCCTAATTTCAACAAAAGGTAGTCCGTGAGGACCCGGAGGGGTTTGAAGTAGAGGTTGGGAATAAGAGAGAAAGGGAGGTCATGGCACTGGACGAGGAGGGGGGGGAGGGGAGTGATGGGAAGAGGAAGAGGTGAGGGGAGTGATGAGGGGGGGGGGGGGGGGGGGAGGGGGGGGGGGGGGGGGAAGGAGGGGGGGGCAGGGGGAAATGGAGGAAGAACAAGCGGAGGAAATGGAGGGAGGTGGACGAGGAGCAGAGGATGATATGGTTGACAAGTGCGGATTGTTGGGCTGAGAAAAGCTCTTGCGATCTTTCCAAGACTAAACTCTGAGTAGAAGTGTTGTAGAGCGTTTGTAACAAGTGTTGAACCACCTTGCGCTGGTATGTGAGGGCAAGATGGATTCATTATAGAAAAGTAATACAAGCCTTTTTTAAGATTACAAGGAATATGAAAGGGTGCAACCAATAACTGTTTTACTGTTGCTGTTGCGGTTCGATACAGTGACGACTCGGGCAACTGCTCAGTATCGAGTCAGTTGTTTGTCCTTACTGTCGCGCTGTATTTGTCAAGTCAAAGGTCGCTGACCTTTGACCAGGGCTGACGATATCATACTATTTTAGTCTGATTGTCTGAAATTTCAGACGATTTTCCTGACATTCCTGATTTTTCAGAGTTGGCTGATTTGGAAAAATGAGTGCTTCAGACTAATGGTTTTTTCGATACTAAAAATTTCAGAGAACTTGCTTACCGGATAATGAGTTTTCATACTACAGAGTACGAACTCCCCTTCGCCATACCTAATACTTCAAAGAAAACCCTGTCAGAATGTTATCTTATGCTCTAGCATGTAGTGGGGTGCTCTATAGCGAGTACAACCTTTCTAGGGTTTCCTATTTGTATCCCCATTCTTGCTAGTGCAGTCCTCTTCTTTCTTCTAAACTTTCACATGCTATCAGAGCAGGTCGATCCCCTTGGATAGATCCTGTGGGTGGACTTACCACCTCGTTGCTTCCGCTGCAACTCCTACTGCTACTGCTATCACTACTCTGCCCGCCGTGCGCCCCGTGACGTGCGGCAGTTTTTCATGGCGCGCGGCGGTTTTCTGCCCGCCGTGCGCCCCGAGGCGCGCGGCGGTTCTCTTTCCGCCGTGCGCCCCGAGGCGCGCGGCGGGTTACTGCCCCGTCACGCCGCGCGCCGCTCCCGGAAGGCGCTGCGACGGGCGACGGGGACCTCCGCGTCGCCCCCCGTCGCCCGTCGTGGCCTGCGCGCGGCCCGTACAGCCTGCGCGCGGCACGTACGGGCCGCGCCAGACCCGTCCGCGGCCCGTACGGGCCGCGCCAGGCCTACGCGCGACCCGTACGGGCGGCGCCAGGCCCGCGCGCGGCTCGGGCCACCTGCGCGCGGCTCGGGCGACACTACCTGCGGCCCCGTCGTCCCATCGCCCTACCTACGGCCCGGCTCCGTCGCCCTACCTACGGCACCGCCCCCCCCCCCCCCCCCCCCCCCCCTTTTTCCCGTCGCCTGTCGAGGCGACCTGAGGGGCGACCTAGGGGGTGGCGGGTGTGTAATCTCCCTTGCTCCTCCTCCTCCTCTGTCTCCCACTGCTGTAGCTACCGCTGAGGGGGGTGGGTGTGTGGGATTCGACGGAGTGGTGCTAGGGGGTGGGGTGAGAGTGGAGCTAGGGGTGTAGCAGCGGGTGTGTGTCAGGGGAAGTGGGATCGTTTGGGGAAGCTGAATGGAGGTTGCCGTCGTGTCGCCAGCAGCACCTGCATTCCGGGGACTTCGTCCGGTAGCCCAGTCGTAGCCAGCTGTGCCAGCCGCCCGTGGGTCCGTTGCTCGTCTGCCACTACTTTAGCCGCGGGGCCAGTTACTCCAGTATTCCGGAGCGTTGTTCCGGTAGCTGCTGTGCCAGTGTGCCTCCTGTTGCCCGTGTATCTGCAGCTTCATCCGTCGCCTCCTATCTCCTCTCCTCTCACTCTCTCTCCTCCTCCTCACTTGCCCGTTGTGACTACCACTAGCTTTGCTCATAATTGTGAACTTCAAACTATTGCTTCTTGAACTTGTGCTCAGAATGTGTGGTGACATTGTGATCCACCCTGAGCTTGTACTGCTTTGCTTGCTCTGCTGATTACACCCCACTTTGGCTATGGGGGTGTGTCAGAATATTATGCTCTAGCCTGTAGTGGGGTGCTCTATAGCGAGTACAACCCTTCTAGGGTTTGCTATTTGTATCCTCATTCTTGCTAGTGCAACCCTCTTCTGTCTTCTAATTTTCACAAGTTCTCATTATGTCAACGTCTGAGTTTGTCGGCGAAGGTAAGTCAGCGGCGGCAAATTGAAATGATGGGTACTATGGCTCAGAAGGCGATGCAGCAAGTATTGAACCAGGCAAACTCAACGACTTTCTGACTGACAAGCTCCAGTATGGCTCTGCATTTATCCCTCTGTTTGGAGATCCAATATGAAGCTGTGTCAGCAAGTTTCATACGAGCTCACTGCCCTTTCAGCAAACGCTGATTTATAGACCATTTGCATAAATTTAATAGCATGTGTCACGGGATATATAATTCACCCAGCACCAAGCATAGACTTCTGGTGTGCCAGCCGCGCTGACTCAGCTTGGGAGGAATCATCTGCCAACATTCCGCCAAACACGATGATGCGAGTCAGCATGGCGAAACCTATATATAATGCCGAAGTCAGGGTCTAAGTCACAGTCAGCTGGTCCTCGCCTTCCACCCCTTCCTTCCCCTCTACCTCTCTGACCCATTCCGGTGCTCTTCATCGCTGCACGCCATCCTTGCAGCTGAAGCATCCTGTCATCACCAGCACGTTCGTCGCGGTGACCACTTATGAACACGCGCCGTGTTTGGGGTTCTGTCCATGCTCCCGTTGTCCCCTCGCGCCACTCTCTACGTGTTTTTCCCCTGTATCTTCAATATATACGCGCACAGCATTACCCTTCGTCGATATCGAATGATATTTCTCAGCTTCGAATATCGTACCTCTCGTTTCCCGGGGAAAAAGAGTTGTCACTTAGTCAAAGCAGTTTTTTGTGAACGATTGCGATAGTGCGTTGTGGACTTTTCGCGTGTGGAAAATAGAACGAGAATGAATGAACTATGAGTGAAGTGAGTACAAATAGCAAAACCCTAATTGGGTTGTACCCCCTATGGGATACCCCACTGTAGCCTACACAACATCATAAGCTACATATATGTTCTGACACACCCCCATAGGCAAAGTGGGGGAGAACAAGGGGTCACAAGACCAGTCAAGCAAAGCAAAGCAAAGCTCAGGGTGGATCACAAAGTCACCACACAGTCCGAGCACAAGAGCAAGGCCACAAGGCCAGTTCACATGCAGGAGTACACACATATATATATAAAGCTAGACAAGCAAGAGCAGGTATATATATGTGACAGTACAAGTAAAGTCAAGAGGAGAGCAAGTGAGGCAAGACAGGCACAAGACCCAGTTGGGTGCAGAAGGGCTGATGGTCACAAGGCGCGAGTGCCTTGGGGAACACATCAGCAGTGTTGGCCTCAGAGGCCA